AGTTGGGCATGAAAGTCCAGTATGTATGGCCCTGGACAACGCTCACCTGTATTATGATTATGACCAATGCCACCAGCAATGTGGCTGTGGGATTCCCAGCCATCCCCAGTCTACTGGTTACCATCGTTGCCCTGTCCATTAGTTTCTTCATTTGGTCCCAGGTGGGTGGTTCACTGTTCTGGTCTGTCTTGCCAACAGCCATCTCCTTGGTCACCTTCTGGTCAGTGGAAGAATCAGCCTCAGCGGTTCCCTGTCCTGGGGGAGTCCTCCAGTCTCAGCTTCCTCATCTTTGGGACCAGGGGGGTCCATGAGGCTTGACAAACCACGATGATACCCACACTGGGTGTTCTGCATCTTCAGGAAAAGCACAAGCATGCCTTCGACCCCACATAGCCAAACAGCGATGACATGCTTAGTGGACTCACCAGCGTGTGCAGAGGCATAGATATAATGATTTGTTGACCCTGTTTTTTTTTTTTTATTCATATGTGCATACAATGTTTGGGTCATTTCTCCCCCCTTCCCCCACCCCCTCCCGTCCCCTCCTTTACCCTCCCAACCCTCGCCACCATCGAGACTGTTTTTGATGGTACAAAGCATGACTTAGTCGGGCAGCTTCTACAGGTGTGGCAGTTTGCATGAGCAAGCCCAAAGCCCAGAGACTAGGTTATCTGCCTGGGCATTACTGTCAGCGAGTGGGCCAGGGAGATTAGAATGTGAGTGCAAATGGCTCACAAAATGGGTGGAGGCGGGTTTGCACCAGACTACGCAACTGAAAGAAAAGACTAAATAACTCTTCACTATTAATATGGTCAATATAAGCAGTTTCAATGTGGTGTAGAACACCTACCACATAGTGACTATCACTATACAGATTAATAGATTGTTGTGGAAAGTCCCTGAGGACCATGACAACAGCATAAATCTCTGCCCTTTGAGTGGAGGCAAAAACATTATGTTCAACCTTGTGGCGATCTTTGGTATAATAGGCAGCAGTACCACTCCCAGAAGCATCAGTGAAAATTGTGATAGCCTCTGACAGAGGGGAGGATAGAATAATTTTTGAAAGACAAATGCGTGAAGGGAAGCAAACTTAAAAGTTTTGAATGCGGAGATGTTCCCCGACCTGTCCAGGAAAATTAACCAGTGCAGGCTGCCATAAGTCTGAAAATTGCCGTAACCAATGCTGTTGATATTTTGAAAATGGGACAACAGTATTACTGGTCTCATTCCCCAGCAATTCACAACAACGAGTGCGTCCCTTAGCAGTCAGCCTAGCTACCAGCTCATGATATGGTATAGGAACCTTAGTGGGAGAGTGACCTAAGTGTAACCATTCCAACACCCCCTGCAATTGCCAGAGTGCTCCTGTGGCACAGGAATGGGGCCAGGCCTTGCCATGGCTGAGCTCTTTTAGGAGGCAGTCAGACACTGGCACCCGCCATAACTCAGTCACTCTTGGGCTACCTGTTCCCGGCAGTGGCAGTGCACTCTGCAAATCCCATTCGTCCTCTCCAACACTAAGGGCATATCTCAGGGAGTCAAGCTGGATACCAAAAAGGAGAATCTTTGTTTATGTGAGGGAGTGGGAACCAAACAATCTCTAATCACGGATCATAAACCGAAAGTAAAAATGGGCATGCATTCCAACCATTCAGCCATATATTGTGCCCTCAGCCTGTCTCCTACCTTGTTTCCTGTTTCTAAATTTACAGTGCCCTCCCCCAGGGAACCACGGGCAAGTATCCTGTACAAAATCTAAAAACTGCATAAGCTGAAGTGACCTGACCCTGCTTCCTCTAGTCTTTAGCATAGCTTTTAAAACTTGTATATAGAGCTCCCAGTCCTTAGACTCACACTGTCCCATGTTTTTACACCTTGCTTATTCAATTCACTCTCCCCCTCACCTTACTTGTTTTTTATTACACGCTCACTTCTTGGAGAGTGTCTCCTCATCTTGGGCTCCAAGTTCCCTTTTAGTTAGTCCCTGTTAGGGTGCCACCTCTCACAACCTGTGCAAGCTTGTCCTAGGAACCTAACTGGGAGCTAGAGGTGATTGAGAAAAGACAAAAGACAAACATGCAAAAAAGCTGGGGTCAGGTGGCCTGGGTGCTCTGGTGGAGACACACAACAGCTTCCACCACCTCCAGTGAGTTTATTGTATACAGCAGGAAACCAGGAAGTAGAGCAACAGTTCTCGGGGCAGCATGACATTGTAGTTGTCAGAAACAAGGGACCTGCGATTGCTACTCTCTGGATGTAAGCATCTTAGGAAAAGCAGCTGTGCTGCATTCTGCCCTTGCCCCCTTCTGCAGCTGGGACTGTGCCCATCCCAGCCTGCAGACATGGCTGTGCTTATGTCAAGTTCTCATAGGCTTCTCATACTCCACTCTCCACACATAACTCTTTTTCTGGCAAAACTGCAACCTTCTCCCCCCGCCCCAAAAATCTTTCTGCTCTGCTTTTTGCTTCTGATTTTCACTCCAAACCTGGCTAAAAGCAGCCAGCAAAACTCCTGTCACAGCCTGAAATGCCCAGGCTGACTTGAAAACATCCTCCTCCAGATTAATTAGTCCATCATTTTTAAACTCTTAGGGCTTGGACGAAATGTAGGTCTGCTCTCTTTGCCAGAATGTAACACACATGGCTTATAGTCTAATTCCTATTAGAGTCCTCATTCCCACTTGAAAGCTCATGAGCATAGTCTTTATCTTTTGTATTCCTATCAGCATTCTGGACTTCAGCTCCCATCAGAATTACCCACTAAGCTCTATTTACCACATTCTGGGGCTTCTGTAACCCTAAATGCCACACTCTTCCAAATTCTTTGTGCAAACCAGTTCCAAAAGCTTAAGAACCATATGATCAGGTTTAGTCACAACAGTGACCCCACTTCTATTGTACCAGTTTTCTATGTTAATTACTTTTGTGTCACTGTAACCAAATAATTGAAAAAAGCAACTGATTGGAGGAAGTATATATTTTGGCTCACAGCTTCATTCCATAGTCCTTGGCTTCATTGATTCCTGGCCTGTGGTGAGACAGAACATCACGGTAGTGGGAGCGTATGGCAGATGCTACTCACCTCATGGCAGAGAGGAAGCAAGAGAGAGAGGAAGGGATTGGGGACTGGTTATAACCTTTAAAGGCACACCCCAGTGGCCTACTTCCTCCAGGACAGCCCTATCTCCTAAAGTTTCCATCACTTCTCAAAATATAGCCACCAGTTGGTGACCAGGCATTCATCACATGAGCCTGAAGGGGACATTTCATATTCAAACCATAATAGTACCTCTAGAGCATACTAAAGTTTGAGAACCATTGCTTTATATTATTTTTCATCTTTTAGTTTATGTTTGAAATTCTAATAAGTTGAAAAATTAGGTTGATGAATGTGAGAGGCCAATTTTGAATATAACTAGGAGAACTTGGCTTTGAGGCAAAGATAAGGTCATGTTATTTTCTTCAGAGTTAGCAGATGAATTGGCAAGGTACTATCAGAGAGCCAGCTAATAATAAGCTACTAAGCTAAAAATAGTCTTTAAGCCAAATTACAAATTTTGCTTTTCTTGAAACAATCGATATTCATTAGTATCACATAAAGAGCTTTAAAAAACGTTCCAGATCTTACCTTAAGAGATTTTGGATTTTATTGGTTGGATTAGGATCTGGATTTGTTTTGTTTTTTCCAAGACAATTCTAATATATGAACAACATTGAGAACCAGTGTCCTAACTTGGTGTACATAAGAAGTGACTGTAGAGCTCCTTAAAAGCTTCTTATGCCTCATCCCCAGAGTCTGACTGAATAACTTGGACAGTAAGGGTCCATGAATTTGCATTTCTAATAGGCTTACAAGTGATCCAAAGAACATTATCTTAAAGTAAGGGATAGTTCATTATCTCCTTGATAAATTTATTATTAGTTCTTTTCCTTAAACCATTAAGCACCAATTAGGAGTTTAGAGGGAATGGAGAACTTGAAAAAAGTATGAGTGCTAAGTCATTTAGTAAATTTTATGTCTGAACTTGTATTAGGAATTTAAAGTTTCTCTTTATAGTAGTATTAATTAATGACTCTTTTTCTGTAGTTTTTCATTTCCTCCACAAGTGTTATTAGAGTGAGCTTGTAGCTAAGAATCCCTATTTATTTCTTTTTTGGTACTGGGAATTAAACCCAGGGCTACCCACATGCTAAGCATATGCTCTACCCTCAATCCTTAATAATGAATGCTTTTGAAAAGGGAATAATGTAAAACAAAATAATGAGTAATTTTGAAAAAGTAATATAAAATGAAACAAAATACCTACTCAAAAGCAACAACAACAAAAAATCAAGACTTAATTACTGTAGACTGTAAGGTTGGAAGAATAGAAAGAGAATATGTGTAGTCAAATAAATTAATGGCCTTCTTACAAATGCAAATGTTGTGTCTGAAAAAAGAGAAAATGCATCTAATAGTACCTATCAAAATGTTTGTCTTGTTTTCTTACTGTCTTACACATACAAGAATCTCTTTTGTCTTAGTTGACACTTCAGAAAAAAAATAGATTCATTTACCTAATATTTTCATGGTTTAGAATGTATATCAGAGATGTTTTACAATGTGTTTAGTTTCAATTTTTAGTGACATTCTTGAAATATTATCAGAAAATTTTAGATAAATGGACTATAGAAAACCATATAAGTAAGATGTCTTTGTTTTTTCTTTAGAATTTTCCCGTATTATTACTTAAGAGCGAGCATATGAATTAAAGTGGTGTGAGGTTTTTTTGCAGTTCTTGAACGATTTCATACACTGTTTTATCATGTTTTTCTATTGTGTTCTTTAAAAATTCTACCTGTTCACTATAATATAATTTTACTAAGAAAAACATTGTAAATAACTCTGGATAAAGATACATTCTTTGGAAAATTGTCTTAATATGTTAATATGTGCCCAGTTTAAGAGTTCTTTAATTTTTTTTCTCATAGACTTTTCTTTTGTTTTTCCCTCCCAGTGGTCATATGCTTTAGAGAAACCCAACACTGGCAGCATATTTAATATTGCGTGGTCAATTGACGGTACTCAGATTGCTGGAGCCTGTGGAAATGGGCACGTTGTTTTTGCACATGTGGTGGAGCAACGTTGGGAGTGGAAAAATTTTCAAGTAACATTAACTAAAAGGAGGACCATGCAGGTATGAATATGGTTCCATGGTTGGTTAAACCTGCTTCTTTTTCACATTCTATGCAAAATATAGAATTATCTTTGTAAATTATATTCCCTCATTTATAAAAATTCAGTCATATTTGAGATATTTTAACTATGAACTATGCTATTAGTCACTTTTTCATGACATAAGATAAGAACCTTTTACTGAGAGAGAAAGTGAATGTGTATAATTACTATAGTTATGGGTTTAGGAAAGACTAGTGAAATTGGAAGCCTTTAGGGAATGTGGGGCTTCAGTGAAGGAAGGACATTTGAAAGAGTTAGATTAGTAGGAGCAAGTTAAACTTAATGCCTGGAGCTGACTCGAAGGCAGGCATAACCTGCTAGTTACTGACAGGTTAAAATGTCTTACTTGTAACAGAAGGAATTTATTTAACCTGATTGTTTAAAATAAGCCTTTGACGAATTACTGGAGGCAAGTCAAAATGGGAAAATAATGCAAAGTTCCTTTTGGGAGTTAGGAGGTTGAGGAAGGAAAAATACTCTTTCTCATTATCTTTGGGTTGTAACTGAGGCCCTTATGACAAAAGGACAGATTAATAAGACAAAAGCATTCAGTTTTAAAGGAAATGAAGACCTGAAGAAACAGTTAAACAACTGTGTACTTTTATGCTGGAGTTGATGAAGAGCAAAAAAGATATGAGCTAGTAGTTACAACCTGGGGAAAACTCGGAAAGCCTGTTTGTTCAGATTCTTCCCTATGTCCCTTTGTTCTTAGAGATAAGGATGTTCCTTCCCTCTGGATTGAACTTTCGCTCTCAATATAAGAAGGATACTTCTCACATCAGGGTGACCTACGACCTATTTCATGGTTTTAGAAAATCAGAAGGAAGCACAGAGTGACCCTTCTGTGTCTCCTGTTTTTCCCAGCTTCCTTCAGCTTGAAATACTCAGTGTACTGTGGTATATATTTTGGAGTTAATGGGTAATTTTAAAGTGAAATACTTTGTAGATTAGTACAGAGCTTGGGATATGGCAATGGGAGATGGAAGGTAGAAAACGTTTATAGGTCAGAGAACATGAGCAACTTATATACTCAATTGTAGGCTTCTCTTCTTTTAATTATTTTCCTTATGAGCATGTATTATTTACACAAAAGTGTTCACTGTAATATTTCCATATGTGCATAAGAAGTACTTTAATAAAAATCACCCCCTTTATTACTCTTTCATATTACCCCTTGCTTTTTTTTTTAAAGTTTTTACTGGGTTTCAGTATGATGTTTTCATAATACATAAAATGTACTTACTTTAATCAAATTCAACCCCCCTATCATCCTCTCCTCCCCTCTCACTGGGTCTCTCCCCATCCAAAAGTACCCATTATTATTTTTGTTTTTAGAGCTAGATTCCACATATGAGTGAAAAAGTGGGATATTTTTCTGAGTTTGGATTATCTTGCTCAACATGACGATCTCCAGTTCCATCCCTTTTCCTGCCAATGGCAAAATTTTCTTTTCTATATGGCTATGTAATACTCCACTGTATATCTATACACCACATTTTCTTTATTCTCATCAGTTGATGGGCATCTAGGCTGCTTTCATAGCTTAGCTATTGTGAATAGTTCTACAATAAATGTGGGCATGCAAGTGTCTCTAATTGTAAGCTTCTTAAAGGCATAGAGACTATATTTCTCTCATTCTTTATAGGGCCTCCACTAGCCCAGTGCCTTTCATATAATAAGTGCTCAATAAATATATCCAAACCTAATTGGAGAAAAGGAGGAGGAGGCCAAAGACAATCGGCCAATGCAAATCCTCTCCTTCCTTTTCTTCCTCTTGTATAGTTGCTTCTATCTTCAGTCTTCATAATTCATGTTATTATGGTAACTATAAAAATTTGGAAGCATAAATTATATGATTTTCTGGGCAGATCTATTGAAATATTTTGTTAGCCTAAGTATGTAGGTTTTTAAATTTGGATATATTTGCTAGACTCATAATAATTAGGCTTCTTACAGTTTTTCTTTGTGTTATTTGCTTATTTAAAAATTTTAAAGCTTCATATTTAGGGAATTTAAAATGTACAGAGTAGTGCATTGAGTCTCTATGTACTCATTTTCCAGTAGTCATGAACCCATGATCACACCTGCCCATCCACAGCCATAGGTACCTTACCTTCCCCAATTATTTCCAGGAAAAATTCAGACATCGTATTTCATCTGTAAAAAGTTCAGCACAAACAGCTAAAATATCAGCACTCTTTTTTTGGGTGATTCTGGGATTTAAACTCAAGGTCTCTTGTTTGCTGGGCAGGTATTCTACCACTTGAGCCATGCTCAGTCCTTTTGCATTTTTGTCCAGGCCAGCCTTGACTGCAGTCCTCCTACTTATGCCTCCTCTGTGCTGGGATGATAGGTGTACTCCACCAAACCTGGCTTCTTGGGTCTCACTAACTTTTTGCCCTGACTGGCTTCTAACTGCAATCCATCTAATTTCTGTCTCTCAAGTGGCTGAGATTATAAACATGAGTTATCATGTCTAGCCTAGATAAGGACTCTTTTTAACATAACCACAATGCCATTGTCAACCACAATGCCATTGTCATATGTTAAAAGTAATAATTCCTTAATAACAGCAAATATCCATGAAGTATTTGGGTTTTCAGTTGTTTCTTATATTTCACAAGTTTAAGTTTGTTTTTGTGAATCAGGATCCAAATGATTATATTGGGTTGATGTACTATTAAAGTCTGTTTTAGTCTTTAGCTTCCCAGTTTGTCTTGTTTCTACCCCCTGTACTTTATTTGTTGAAGAAACCAAATGGAATTACTATATTCATACAGTGCAAAGGAGCTAGGTAATGTAGAGTTGCTAAGAATAAGTTAAAGTCTTCGTTACAAAAATACCCCAAGACAAGAATGTATCTAGAGAGTTTTTCTTTCAAAATAAAGAGTAATAATCTAAGTGGTGAGAGGATTTTAATGTGAAATAAGATGAACTATGAAGATTTTAATGGCTTATCTAGTCCAAATTATCTTTGTGGCTAATGTTTACAAATAATTTTTTTTAACGTTTTAGAACTAGAAAACTTATAAAGAGGCCTTACAAAATCAAATAAAACATTTAGTTATATTTTTGGTAAGTTGGACCCCTTCAGCATTTTTCTTAGATAATTTCCTTCATTCATTCAATGGATAATTGAATTGAGTGATCACTACTTGCTAAGCACTGGGCTAAGCAATAGGGAATACAGTAGTGAATAAAACACATCTAATCTTTGTTCTTATGGGTCTCTTAGGTTAGTATCTTAAAAATCTTTTTTTTAAAAAATATATTCAGCATATTGATTCAAGGTGAGAAATGAAGGAAAAAAATTTATTGGTTCATGTGAAAGTCAGTAGATAGACTGGTATTGTTGAGGCTCATATAAGATCAACAAGACTTATTACTTATCTTCTTCAACTCTCCTTTTCTCTGTAATGGGCTTCATTTTCAGAATGGCTTTCTCCATTTTGTGGCTTTTAGCTCCAGGCTTCTATTCTACCAACTTCACATTCAGCAGAGAATGCTTTTCTTCCTGGTAATTCCAGCAGAAGTCCCAACCTTGAGTCTCATATGCTACGGAGGAAGATGAGTCAACCTCAGCTGAACTATTTAATCATGGAGACTAATGGAAGGAATAGTTGCCCAAAGGAAAATCAAGTCATATTTACCAGGAAAGGTATAATTTGATCTGGACAGACAAAAAAGATATCCATTACAGTCTATTCTTTGGTTATTAAATAGCCATAATCACCCCAAAACTTAGTGGCTTGACACAGCAACATTTATTATCTCTCGTTTTCTGTGAGTCAGAAATCCAGTCCTGGCTTAGTCAGCTCCTCTGGCACAGTCTCTCAAGACTGCTTTGAAAGTGTTGGGCAAGGTTTTAGTCTCATCTGAAGTCTCACTAAAGGGGAAGATTTACTTTCAAGCTCAATGATTTTTGGCAGGATTCAGCACACCAATGTCTTTTGGACAAAGGTCTTCAGTTTCTTGTTGGCTGTTGATGGGATACTTACTTCAGTTCCTTGTATGTGGCTCTTCATGGGGTAGCTTGGAACTTGGAATCTTGTGCTACCAACTGAGAAGAGCCAGAGAGAGAGAGAGAGAAAGCAAGGCATAAGTCATGGTTTTTTATCACCTGAGATCAAAAGTGTCATCTTGTCACGTTTGCCATATTCTACCCAGTAGAAGCATGCTACTGGGACCAAGTGGAGAGATTTATACAAGGGTGCAAATACCAGAGGTAAAGATCTTTGGGAGTACCTTACAAACTGCCTACCACAATTCATACCCTATTCATATATGTGTAATTCAGATCTACACCACTTAACTAATGCAGCTACTCCATATGTGACTAAAGTAAACCTTTATCCCCTCCCAAAAAGAAGACATTTTAGACTTGTGTAGTTACTGTATCAGCTCCAAGTCTCTAGTCTGGAAAACTATGAATAAAAATGAATTTATTTTCCCTCTTCCCTCTTCCTCCTTCCCATATTCCAGGTTTACAATGATGAAGGGGAAATAAGATGGCTACAAGAAAAACAATTTGGAAAAGGGAAAACATCACACAGCGATTACCAAGTCCATAGCTTAAAATCTAGCTGGACAGTATTCTAAGAATTCATTCTTAACAATAGTTGCTTGGTCACTTTGGCAATTCTAGTTTGCTTTTATGGGAAGGTCTCCTTGAACTTTTTGGAGAATCCTTATACTATAGCAGCTCACTTTCTTTAGTTGTAAAGTAGGACCCCAGGATTTCCACAGGAACTGAACAATCACAACTTTTTGTTTTCAGGTTTTGTTAGAAGCTTAGTAGGCTTTTTCCCAATAATAGGCTTCATTGCTCTTCCTGCCTCCCTGGACCTCAGCGTCTGTGGGACACAATTGGCTAGAATCTATCCCTTGCCTACAATATGTATCCTAGTGAATAATTCTCTCCAAAGGATACAGTTGATGTCTTTGTTAGGAGGAAGGGCCTGGGAAAGGGTACCGATGTAGGGGATGGGGCAGTTCTAGGGTCTCAATCTTACCATTATTTCTTTCCTTTTGTCCTAATTTTAGCATGGGATATATATTTGGCTTTTTAATAGTTGCCAAAATTGAAGAGTATCTGATTCTTAGTCACTTTGTGTCTTGTAAAGAGGTAATAATAGAGTGAGTTTCAGAATTAAAGGAGATAATGTCCATAAAACGAAAACAAGTAGTAGCTTTTGCTATCAGTATAGCTATGTATAGGATTAAATGAGTATTTAGGGTAATTTTGCAAACAGAATTTTAGACTTCTTTTGTGATACTGGGGTTTGAACTCAAGGCCTCACACTAGTTAGGCAAGCTTTCTAACCACTTGAGCCATGCCCCTAGCCTTTTGTGCTTTAGTTTGTTTTTCAGATAGGGTCTTGAGTGTTTAACTGGTTGACCTCTGACCTCTATCCTCCTATCTCCTCCTCCTCAGTAGCTGGGATTATAGAAATGTACCACCATGTCCAGCCCTGAGTCTTTGGACTTATGTCAGTGTGAGGAGTCTAAATATTGTGATAAAGTATAAGTTGATGTAAGTATCAGGAGATTAATCCTAGAGCTGCCTTGAATTGAACAGAGTAACAAGTACATTTTAAAATTCAGCACAGAACATTTCTGATATGAGATTCACCATAGTTTTGTAACTGTAACAGTTTTGTTATTATGAGTGGGTTTTTTTTTTTTTTTTTGGTTTGGTTCTATTGTGCAAGATTCACAGAAAAAAGGGCATTCCCCCTAGTGAAGCTTCAGGCAAGTATGGATTTTAAGGAATCTTATCTGTAATTTGAATAATGGCAGAAGTCTGTATGATTGGTTTTTTAAATAGTGAATTTTCCTTTAGATGTATCAACAATTTATTTAACTAGATAACATGTTGCTTTAAGGAAGGTAGAATATAACTTCCCTTAAAAATTTTAATATCATTCTATTAGCTTCAAAATGCTTCCAGAGGTATTTTGAATCTTTAAAAAAGACTGGAAAGTCAGACTTCTGGTGAAGATGTATCATAACTTCACTGAGAGTGGGTTGTACATTCTTGCTGTAATTAAAAAACAGCTGGTTCCTGAAACCACTGTCTGTCCTACAGCTTTCTTGTGTTAGTCACTTTTTATGCTGTGACAGATAACTTCGAGAACACTTTCAAAGGAGGAGAGGCTTATTTTGGCTGTGGTTTGAGCCCATGTTTGGCTGGCTCCATTGTTTCTGGGCCTGTGTGAGGGAGAGCATCAAGGTGAGGTGTGTGGTGGAGCATAGCGACTCATCTAATAGCAGTGGAGAAGCACAGACAAGACTGGGGCCTGGGACAAGCTGCAGCCCCCACATGCATGCTTCTGTGACCTACTCCTTCCAGCTAGACCACACCTTGGGAGTTCCCACTACTTCTGAATAATGCCATCCAAGTGCAAATCCTTCAGTGAATTAATCCATTGACTAAGTCAGAGCCTGCATGATCTAATTGTCTCTGGAGTCGCCCATAGACACATCCCTCTATCCACTCAAGTTGAAAATCAAGGTTAGCCATCACTCTCCTCAAGTTTGCTTTATTCTATGTGCCTTAGGTCACTGGATCTAGAGGGGGAATAAATGTTTTCCTTATTCCTCAGTGCTGATTCTAGACCACCATAACCTCATCTTCTGGCAGAGATAAGTACTTGGAAGAAGTACTTACAAGAAGTTTGACTTTATCTTCCTCTATTTCCTTCCATACCTTTCCTTGTTCATTAATACTTTGTCATATTATTTTCAGAAAAATGGCAACATAGCTCAAAGAATTACTCAAAGTACCCCCATTACAATAATAATTAAAGAAATACTAACTTGCAGATATAATTACATTGATTTTTTTCCTCTATTTTTCACCTCTTTTCTGTTTTACCTATTCTCTTATCTATTGATATTAATCTGATTGAGATTAGGTAAATCTAACTTGCCCACCATTTTTTTTGACTTGTTGCAGTTTGTCTTTCAGCTTCAAGATTTTTGGCCAATACTGCCAAGTGCTAAAATCCTTGTAAACTAGTCTGTTAGAAACTTTGCTAAGGATTTTGACTATCATAGGCAAGCCTCCCTTTGTTAGCTGTTGCTTCGCTTTCTTATTATCTCTGTGAGTTTACGTATGGAAGGAAGTACTTTCCCACTCTGTGCAGCTTGGCTTCTTCACTATGCGGTTAGTTTTTTTTTTTTCTTAAACCAATACCTCCTTCTAGATTACTTTTGATTTTTAAAAGCAATTACACCTCTTTTTTTAGAGCTTAAATTTTAAAGTAAAATCTGTACTAAAAGGAGGTATTCTTAATCTTTTTGGGCAGAAGACATGTAGTCTCTTTCCAACTTCTATATGCCACCCTCCTTCAACTCTATCTCAGTGTTAGAACTTTTTTCACATTATCACTCATTGCTGTATCATTCAGTTTGGCGTGCAAGTTAAAAATCCTTATAGGTCTTTTTCTACTTACTTCTAAGAGGTTTTTTTTAAATCTGTATTTTCTTGGTTGATTTTTATATCCAAGTATATCACCTTATGCCTAGTTGAATTCTTTTTTATATGATTAGATAATCAAGAATGCATTGAGTTTTTTGTTCATATTAAAAATCTGAACTTTGATGTTTTAATGTTGTTTGTTGGTCTTTCATTTTTTCTTGTTTAGGTTCGTAACGTTCTTAATGATGCAGTGGATTTACTGGAATTCCGTGATAGAGTCATTAAAGCATCTTTGAACTGTGCACACTTAGTTGTTTCAACATCTCTTCAGTGTTATGTGTTCTCGTAAGCATCTTGCATTTCTTAAAAGTTCAGTTTTATCTGTTATTTTCAAGTTTTCACATCAACATAGTTTAGTTTAAACTTCACTTATTCAAAATCTTACCTCAAACAAGAAGTGAGAAAAAGTGAGGTATGTATAATGAAAATAAGTCTAATAAAGCTTGCGTCTCAAAGGTTAGTAATCATATTTATAACAGGAAATTTACCTTATCTGATATAGTGTTTATTCTTAGTGCTAAAGAATTTGGTTGTTTTATTTCAAAACCCAGAGTTTAGGAATAGCTGATAAATAATAGGGAAAGGAACCAAACAAAGGTATTCAGTAAGGGCACAAGGAGTTTAGGCTTCTTATATAGCTCAGGGTAATCATGGATGCTCTGACCAATGACCCAAACTTATCCAAAAATAATGAAAAAAAAAATTCAGTATGCTCCATGTTCAAAGGCAGGGTATAATTTTATACATCCAAGAAGCTCGTATCTATAACTTAAGTATGTTCTTCAGTTCAAAATGTTTAATATTTAATGAGGTTTTTTTTGGGTGGTAGTGGTGGTGATACTGGGGTTTTCCAGGCAGGCTCTCTGCCACTTGAGCCACTTCACCAATATATATTTGGTATTTTAAAAGGGTAACTAAGTGTGCTGATGAGCAATGAATGACTAGTTTTCTGGAAACAAACCTGATTCATGGTGTTTGATGATTTCCATGATGTAAATATTTGTACCATGACCAATTTCAAGTTACCATAGTGAATTTGCTGAAAGCAGAGTTGAGAGGAGATGCAGAGTAGCAAACCATTACATTCCTTTGCTACCGTGTAGAAACAAGTGATGAAAATAATTTCATGTGCATATAGTAAACTAAATATAATCCTGAAGGAATAAGTTTTTGAGTATTTATTACCTCTGTAAGCTCAATAGTTTATTAAATTTCATTTTAAACGGTTGAATGAACAGTTGCATTTAGTCAAATTAACAAAATTTAAAATATTTAACAACCGTTACAAGCTGGCTCTCTAGCATTCTACTAGTTGACTCCATAACCATCCAGAGAACTCATGTAACCACTATGATACTTTTAAAAGTTGTAAGTAGTTAAGGATTTTTTTTAAGTCTGTGCTTATATTTGTAAACTATATGATTATAGTTTAATCATGGAATATGGAATTGAGGATACAACTACATGTGTCTTATTCATCACTATATGCCCAGTATTTAGCCCAATATCGGCACTTTATATTTTGAAAATGAATAAATGAATTGAAATACATAAAATATAGTGTTGCTTTGGTATCCTAAAGCCCAGTAACATGGAACACAATGATACTCAATTTAATCATCAACTGCTACCAGCATATTTTAAAAAATTTCCCACTCATTATGTACAAATCTGCTCTAATCAGAATCTGCAGCTTGGGAAAATGAACACAGAATGGGAGAACCAGAGGAGAGTGGATAAACAAGCAGCTCAATTTTATGTGAATTTTTTTTCTTAAATGAAAGGAGGAACAGTAGTAATTTAAGAAAAAAATCACTTAAGGAAACTCTTCAGTTTAGAGCTTTCTGTTTGTCGTTAGAAAACTGGCTTTTAAATGTCCTAAGTGAGATTTATTTTACTAGTTAGTGGCAAGGACATAATGTTTGAATCTGAAGATTGATATCATTAGGTGTTACTTGTATCAAAGACATTGCTTTTTAAAATACTAAAAGTTTAGCAGCCGTTACTTAATTTTTTTTGTCATTTTACTTTTCCCATCTTAGTCATTGTGTAGCAAAATATAAGATCGCTTTTCTTCTTTTCTGAGTTAACCTTATTTCCTCTCCCTGGCAGAGTAGTAGTTGGAATGAAATAGGGCTGAGGCCTGTCATTACTGAAATATATTTTATTAAGCTGGAAAACCTACTAGTAGTTTAGATAATAATAACTTTTTTGTTTAGCAATCATTATGCTATCTTTTATAGTATTTTTAGTATTTCTATTTTACAATATGAAGTTTAAGGTCACAGAATGATTACGTAACTTGTCCTAGGCTAAACTATTCGGCTTCTTTATTTTTTATTTTATAAAAAGCTCTTTCTTGGCAGGTGCTCTGCACCTTGAGCCATACCTCCTGCCCTATTTGCTCTGGTTATTTTGGATATGGGGCCCCACTCTGCCCACGTCGACCTGGACTATCCATCTTCCTATTTAGGCTTCCCGCCATGGCTGGGATGACAGGTCCTTGCCATCATGCCCAGCTTTTTTCCATTGAGAGAGGGTTTCATGAACTTTTTCTCCCTGGCTGGACTTGAACCATGGTCCTCTGATTTCAGCCTGTTGGATAGCTTGGGATGCCAGCCAGGCTCATGCCACCACACATAGCTATTGGTTGAGATGGAGTCTTGTGAACTTTTTGCCCTTGCTGAGCTTAAACCACTGTGCTCCCAATTTTTAGCTTCTCAAGTAGCTAGGATTACAAGCATAAACCACCAGTGCCCAGCTTCATATTATTTAACATCGTTATTAAACCAAGAACTGGGATTTGAATCTTTATAACTGTTGCTCCATTTTTAGTAATAAAAATATAATTATTAAAACAAACATGCAAGTAATATAATGATCTATATTAAAAGAAATTCTAGAAAAAGAATTTTATGTTAAATATTCCACTTATTTTTTCAAGCAACTATTAATAATACTCTTTCTTGTTTTATTTTCTAGAATAAGGAATTTGTATTTCTATAGCAATTATATGTCAGTTTTCAGAAATCACAGTTAATTTCGGTAACTAAATCAGTGAAACATGCTGATATTTTTTTCTGAAATACAAAAGCATGTTATCTTTATCAGACCTATAAACCACAAACTAATTACTAGAACTAATTACTAATAAAATTACTATATTATTAGTAGAAATGTATTAGCTATTTTGCCTTATGCATGCATTTACTTACTGAAAATGGGAATCAAAATCTACATTAGACAAGATGAATTGCCCACCAAGCTGCCTGCACACTACAGTCTTCCTCCTGTCTTCTGGATGCGAATATGAGCTTTAATTTGATTTAAAGAATTGGTTCTGTTAAAGTTAGTGATAGAAATTCAAAATATATAGGAGTAGTAAACATTTTAAACTGTGATACAAGTTTGTCTATTTAAGGATGGATTTTCCCACTTGTAGACATTCTCTCACCCACCCTAATCTTTGAATCATATTATCCTATAAAAAAGGAATGACTTATTCATCATTGGATTCAGTAAGCCTGATCATAGCTTATATTTATATAGTATTTTACTGTTTGCAGAATGCTTCACAGAAATAATTTCATCATAGCCCAAAGATAATATCGAGAGATTGGGAAAATAACCATGTTAAGTTTGTTCAGCACCTGCTATGAGACAGGCAGTTTGCCAGACACTTGGATCATTTATCATTATCCCTATTTACAAATGAGGACACTGATGTTTCAGAGGTTAAGCTTGTTAAGATCGTATGGCTGGGAGATGGTGCAACTATATTTCCAATTCAGACCTGTCTAGCAAAATTCTATCCTCAAAATGTCATGCTGCTACTGTTTTTCAGACATTAGACAACTTTCCCAAGCTAATAAATGGCAAAACTAGGACTTACACTTAGTATTCCTAGGCTCACATATTGTAATACCTATAGTGAACATTTATTTAGTGTCTACTATGTGCCAGTTGCTGGGGACACAGAGTCTCTGCTTTGTATTCGATGATACAGACATGTGAGTAAATAATTTTAGAAAAATGTGCTAAATGCTGTAAAACAAGTATATGTACAATTACTTGTTTATAAATAGAGTCACTTTATTTAAAATAAGTACCTTTCTACTTATTAAATAATTAATATTTGAGATTTTAATAAATATCCATTTTGTCTTTTAGTACAAAGAACTGGAATACACCACTTATATTTGATCTCAAGGAAGGAACGGTTAGTTTAATTCTACAAGCAGAAAGGTAATGTTCTTATTTAATTTTAACTATTAGATTTAGGGTTAAGATATCATATATAGCAGTGGAACATTCTTTAAAATATCTCATTTGCAGAATAGTATACTAGTCATTTGAAATTAGTCTTTTTCTATTTATGTTTAAGAATTGAAAACAATAAATAAATTTAGATCAGTGGTTCTGAAATTTCTTAGTCTCATAATTTCTTTAAATTCTTAAAAAGTTATCAAAGGTTACCATGTTAGTTAGAAATTAAAGGCTAGAGATGTAACTCAGTGGTAGGGTACTTGCCTAACATATGCAAGGCCCTTGGTTCCATCCCCAACACAGCAAGGAAAAAAAAAAAATCTATCTATCTATATACCACAAGCAATCTACAGCTGGATGAGGTAGCAGAGGCAGGAGGATCATGAGTTCGAGGCCAGCTTGGGTAACAGTGAATTCCAGGCCACACTGGGCTACATAGTAAGACCCTATCTCAAAAAAATATACTGAAAAAAATAAAGAAATTAAAACTGAGAAATTTAAAAGATGTTATTTTAAATGATGAGAATAAACTCATTACAAGTAAACATCAGAGTGAAAATATGAGAGAATGAGAGTGAAACAGGCAAATTACTCTGAAATAGTTTAGACCTCGTGGTCTGCCCATCTGCCTTCCTTCCTGCCTGCTTCCACCCAGGCCTTGCACGTGCTATGCATGTGGTCTACCCCCAGCCCTATTTTTCTTTTGTATTTATTTGTTTGTTTTTGGTGAGACTGGGGTTTGAACTCAGGACTTTGCACTTACTAAGCAGTTGCTCTACTGCTTGAGCCATACCTCCAGTCCGTTGTGCTCTTGTTATTTTGGAGTCTCTTGAATTATTTGCTTGTGCTGACCTTGGACCTCAAGCCTCCCAATCTCAACCTCTCAAGTAGTTAGGATTACAGGTGTGAGCCACCAGCGCCCAGCACTATTTTTATTTTTAAATAATGGTTGAAACTCTTTGGCTTCGTGGTCACCATCAGGCTATGACCTGAAGTCTGAAAAATAGCATTCTCTGCCAAGTCCTTCACTATAAATAGGACTAAGAAACTCTGGGCCAGTTAACTTGAGTAAATTGGGAAAAACTGTTACTCCAGGAACACACATTTTTTCTATGAAAACTATCAAGCAAATAGAACAGTAATGCCATACAGAATCAGAGATCAGAGTTAGAAAAGCTAGCCAATAAAACCTGAATAAAGTACAAAAATATAATTGGCATTATCTAAAAAATAGATAGCTCCACATGAAACCTTTGCACTTAAACCATGTACTTTATTCCTTATCCATTCACTCATCATTGAGGCAGCTCTTTAGAGTGTTTATTATCAGGTTTTCTAGCTCACAGCTTTTTATAAATAGCAAACCCAAACAGGAATGGTGCCATGGACTGTTAGAGGCTGGCACAATGACAGGAAGAAAAGTGCCTGTCTGGCAGGGAAGTACAGAGAAAACTAAAGCACAGAACTGTGGAGCTGAATATTATAATTATTCTGAGCTTCAGCCAAGTCTCATGAGAGTTAGAGCTGTCATTTAGTTACTAAAGAGTAAGATCATCATATTGATGACCTTGAGTGATCAAGAAAACATTATGTCAAAATTTATATCATCTGTGTAATGAAATTGAAATGCATTCTTTATTCATTTAGTTATAATTTTTAAATGTCATTTTGCCATTTATAAGGTAAAATGTCATCTATCTAAAAAAGCATATTTGTGAAATGCTTTTTACTTCAACAGTTTCAAATATATTTATTTACACATTGTTTATAAATGTATTTATTGAATATATAAAGGCATATGTTAATTGCATATGTAATTAGAGAATATTTTAGTGACCACCTACCACTGGTCTTATTTATACATTTACACCCATTTTTGTACACTAATGTGTATAGCCACATTCTAATGTGTAAAGACCAAACCCTTCTATTAAATAAACTACTTACCAATCTTTTAGTATTAGTTAATTAAAGTGTGTACAGTTGGTATTCATTAGTTACTAACTTTTCATTGGTTTTGGCTTATTCCCTTTCTGCCTCCATAACAAGAAAGAACAATTAGCAATTTCTAAATCAATGAATACTTCTGAACTGAGAATACTGAGACCTTAAGCATAAGATTTAAAACATGTCTTCAGTATTAAGATGAGTATTAACCAGGCTCACCAACATAGATGCATTGTGTACAACCTCTCAAAAGTCAGTTAAATGACATGTATTACATTTTTAAAAATATGTACCATTTGATCAAGTAATTGTGCTTGTAGAAAGTATATTACAAAATAAGTAGACAAATAGATTCATATACACTATAAACACTTTAAAATAGGGAATAATTTGAAATAAAATGTCCTTGAAGAGTGAGAAGGATGCTGGGTGCCAGTGGCTCACACTTGTAATCCTAGTTACTCAGGAGACAGAGATCGGGAGGATTGTGGTTCAAAGCCAGCCCAGGCAAATAGTTTGTGAGACCCTATCTCAAAAAAACCCATCACATAAAAGGGCTGGCTCAAGGTGTGGGCTCTTCAAAAAAAAAAAAAAGAGTGAGAAGAAAAAATTCATGCTCATGTGGTGGGGCATGCCTCTATTCCCAGTACTTGGGAGGCTAAGGCAGGAGGATCACAAGTTCAAGGCCAGCCTAGGCTACCTAGTGAGAGTCTGTCTCAAAACACCCAAAGAGGGAAGAAAGTACAAAGAAATACCTATAGAATGCTACCCTTCAAGTAAGAAAGGAGAAAAAGAGCCTGGGATTAGCTCAGTGGTGTAGTGCTTTCCTAGCATGAACAAAGCCCTGGATTCCATTCCCAACACCACAAAAAAAAAAAAAAAAAAAAAAAAGAAGAAGAAGAAGATAAAACACCTATCTGCTCAATTTGTGCAATAAAACGCAGAAAGGATAAATCAGAAAAGGAAGTAACTGGTTCCAGGGAATGGAAGTGGAGAATGGATATGATTAAATAAAGGAGAAACATTTGAGTATACCTTTTCTATGGCTTTGCCTCTTTAGAATGACCTGAATGTTTCACACCCCCCCAAAATAAAACTAATCTTGAAACTCCAAGGACAAAGAAAATAGTGAGTTAGTAGGGCTGGGGGTGGCACAGTGGTAAAGTGCTTGCCATGTATATATCTCCATACTTTGTGGGGGTTTTTTATTCTGTAGTAGTGTGGATGTGTGGATTAAACTCATATATTCATACTGTTTACTATAGTTATCTCTGTGGAGCTGGATCACAAGAGTCCTTTGTTTGCTTTAATTATTTTTTACAATACTTGTAAGTTTTCAAAGGAAAAATATGCAATCATAAAATATGTATGTGAGTTAGTAAAAAATGACACAGAGCCCAGTGCCTTGGATGTAGCTGTAACATACTACATGAAACTGAATACCTGCTGCAAAAAATGTGTGAGTTTAAGATATGAATGCATGTTTATGATCGCCATGTAATTTTACAGTCATGTGAATAAATGCTGGCACTGAAATTAATTTTTGTGTCATTTTCACTTTAACCAGTGTTTAATGTTTAACATAATCTTTAATTATGAAGTATGTATTAATACTGTTTCATGAAACATAGCATCTGGCATTAAAATCTCTAAATTATTAATTTAGAGATTTTATAATTATCTTTTTAGGGAGATTCTTCTAGGAAATGAAATTAGTTGAAGGTAGAATATAAAAGAAGTCACAAGTTTAGTATATAGGATGCTAATTATATATTCATTTTTCTTCCCTATTCCATTAAAAAAACAAAAACCCAGAAAAACCAAAACAGATGTTGACTTTCAGTTTTTTAAGTATATCATTCTTTTTTTGCATGTATTTTTTTACATTGTTGTACTGAGGGAACATTGTGACATTTACAAAAGTTCTTACACTGTATCTTAGTTAAATTCACCCCTTCTATCATTCTCCTTTATTTCCTCTTCCCTAATTCCTGGAAAAGTTTCAACAGGTCTCATTTGTCCTTTTTCATAACATGAGTACATGAAATTTCCACCACATTCACCTTCCTACATCCTTTCCTTATGTCCTCCCCTCTCCCACTGTACCAATCCCTAGAGAGGAAATATTTCATTCTATGTATCTATGTACTTATTTTAATTGTAGGATTTAGATTTTTCCCAAGTGATAAAACTATCCTTTAGTATAAAAGTAAAAATATTGTATCCTCCTATTTATTCTTTATTTTTTAGACATTTTCTTCTGGTCGATGGTGGTGGTATCTATTTATATTCTTATGAGGGGCGCTTCATTTCTTCTCCAAAATTTCCTGGAATGAGAACAGATATTCTGAATGCACAGACTGTGTCTCTGAGTAATGATACTGTAGCAATAAAAGACAAAGCCGATGAAAAAAGTAAGTATTTTTCTAATTTTCCATGTCAAATTTCCTTGAAATTTGTAAATGCTATAAAATTTTTATGAATTAGCTTTTACTTTCCCATCTATCGATATGTTAACTTTATATGAAAGAATTATGAGCTTCCTCATTTGTTCTAACCATGAATTAAATAAGAACTAAATTGCCTGTATATCCAGTTGTTAGAATAAACAGATACTATCATAACACCCAAGATCTGTGGTAAGAAGTAAATCTTTGTATATTTAGTAGCTGTTGATAGAGAGTTTTAACTCAAGATTGTGGTCCTAAAGTATATAGTAATTTTAAACTTTTTAAATATTCCCTTTTTCTTCATTTGGTAACCTAGTAAATGTTTTCTACATCTTACAATTTATTTTGTTTATTTTTTAAATTAGCAACTTAATGAAGCAGAAGAAAGATATGGATAACTTAAATTTTCTGTTTAAAAATCTAGGCCACATTAGTATTTTTACATAAATATAAGTATGCTAAGTGGAATTCCATAGTACAGTGAAACCATTTTATTAGGCATTGATGTATCACAGATTCCATTATCCAGAAGATATTACTGAGTGCTTTCATTGTGCCCAGTACTTTTCCAGAAGTTGGGGATTAATGCTGAACAAGACAGACAATAAGAAAAGACAAAGTCAAAACAAGTAAATGGAAAAATACATAATAAACTCCTTTGTTTGTTTGTTGTGCCACTTTCTGTTACACGTGAACACTGAAATACAGGCCCAGCCTCCCAGAGATCATCTCTACTTACATTTGTGAATGAGTTCATTCACATCTGCCTAGCACTTTATAATATGTACAGTCAGCAAAAGGATAGAAGGCTTTTTTTTACATTATTAGTTTTAAAACTAATAACCATGTATTGCTATGAAGATGGTTGACTTTAGTCAGCCCAAAGTACTTTTTGAATGGAAACCAAATTTTTCTAGTTTATGTTTATATGCTTGTTTAAAATCCTGCTATATTGTTTTTCTTTTTCATTTTTCTCAGCACACTTGACAATCTTAGAAAATAACTAAATATTCTAACATTTCCTCTGTGAATACAGCTGGTGTAATAACTTATGGTTGTCTAAAAGCTAATAATCAATTAAATTTCATATTATGTATATTTTAGCGTTTTTATGATCTATATAAACTGTCCAGGTTTTGGTTTCTTTTTTTTTTTTTTTTTGCTGAGCACTCATGCCACTTTCAGTCTTTATTTTTTGTAATCCTATGTGTGTCATCATATAAAATTACCTCATTTGGGATGAATGAATGAAGTAATTTGGAAATTGCTTAAGGACAATCACTAAAGCACTCCCACAATCTTCCTTTTTTTCCCCAATAATCTTTTCAAAAGAGAAAATAATAGTTATCAAGACTACTATCATGTTTGAGACTAAGAGAAGCCTTGATGAAATGGACAAGGGAGCAAACAGGCAGCATTTGTTTAGGCTTCTTCAATATCATATCTCTTGTAATTTTTACCTACTTCAGAACACCAGAGAAAAGTGGGAAATGGAGATAAAGAGCTTTGAGATATCATTATGCAGACAGTGAGTGATGTATGAAAATAGATCTGTTGGGGAAATACATACTGTGAAAAGACCCCCAAGAACAAAACTTTAGGAACAAAGATTAACAAGCCAAAGAGAATGAAGAGTGGTCCAAAGTAGGAGAAAACTGGGGAAAAACAGTGTTACTTGTAACTCACATAAGTGTTTGGAGAAAGAATGGTCAATAGCATCCAATGCTGTTGGGAGGTAAAAACTACACACAGACTTTTAAAGTGAAAACTAAAAGTAGTCTTTGATTTGGCAACCTATGTGTCCATTGGTGAACTGTATGCCCATTTCATCTTGGGAGCTAATTCTCCCAACTATCAATTAGAAAGCAGAAGTTTTTGCATTAGTATAGTGACACTGAATGACAAATTATAGTAGATTGAAGTATGGGTAGGAGTTGTTAAAGCTGGAATGACTGCGTTCTATAAAGTTTAGAGTTAAGGAGAGGCAAAGAATAGGATTATTTGAGGATGGGGAAGCTTTTTTTTTTTTTAATGAAAATGACTTTAAAGTATTTATATGCTGAGAATGAAAGGAAAAGGAATGGGCAAAAGTAGTGTAGAAGATGAAGATAGGTGATAGAACAATATCCAGGAGAAAGGGGGCCAGGAAAAATGACAAAGTACAGGTAAAGAATGTGGTAGGAGTGAGTCATATAATCATTAGACACTAGAAACTGGAGTGTATATTGTGAGGACCAGGGCTGTTATAAATGAGTTTGGAGATAATCTGAGCTGTTACATCAGAAAATTACCAAATGCTTATTCATTTGTTGTTTGTTTATATTGTACTGAGAATTGAACCCAGGGCCTCGTTCATGCTAGTCAAGTGCTCTACCAGTTGAATCACACCCTCAACCCTTTTCTTTCTATTTTGTTTATGAGATAAGGTCTTGCTTACTTTGCCTGTAAGAGTTGGCCTCCAGCTCTCATTCTCCTGGATCTACCTCCTAAATACTTGGGATTACAGGTGTGTTCCACCATGCCCATCTCCAAGCAATTTTTTTTTGAGGATTGAAAGTAATAATTTTTTTTCTTTCAGTGCTATAGATTGAGTCTAGACCCTCATACATGCTAGGCAAGCACTCTAACACTGAACTATACCCCCAGCCCTATTTGTTTTTTGTATTTTAATTTTATTGTGATAAGAACACTTAACCTGAAATCTCTCTCAACTGTTCTGTCAGTATTTAATACAATATTGTTAACTCTAGGCACAGTGCCATACAGTAGATCTTAGAACTTCCTCAACTGGTAATCTCTTTAACTGACAACTCCCTGTTTCCTCCTTCTCCCTGCCACTGGAATGCGCTGTTCTGCTTTTGGCACTTTTAACTATTGTAGATACCTCATGTATATAGAATCATGCATTTGTCCTGTAACTGCCTTGCTTGACCTAGCATAATGTCTTCCAGATTCATCCATGTTGTCACATATTGAAAGATTTCTTATTTTTCTTTGAAAGACTGCAATCAGCTGTTTTGGGTAAACACCCAGAAGTGGGATTACTACACAGTTTTAATTTTATTGAGGCCCCTCCCCCCCCATACCGTTTTCAATAGCAACAGCACCGTTTTGCATTCCCACCAACAGCAAACAGAATACAAGTATTCCAGTTTCTCTATACTCTCAGCAACATTTTCATTGTTAATGTTTTGTGTTTTTATAATAGCTACCCTAACAGGTGTGAGGTGATATCTCATATTAGTTTTGATTTTCAGTTCCCTAATAATTAGTGAGTGACTTTGAGTACTTTTCATATACCTCTTGGCTCTAGAAAATGTTCTGCCTTAAAACTAGCTCTTGATTGTTTGGGGGAAATATTTAATCTTGAAGAATCTGCCCCATTTTATCATGGGAGCTAGTTCCCCAAACTAGCAGTTAGGAGGAGAAATCATTGCTAACAGCCCTCAAAATGAAACCTATTTTAGGATTGGAGGCATGGCTTAAGTGGTAGAGCACCTGCCTAGCAAGCACAAGACCTTACATTCTAACCTCAGCACCACCACCAAAAAGTAGAAGAAAACTATTTTAGAAATGACAAAATTATCATCCAATTAAAAATACTTTATAAACTGTATCTTATTTATACATGTGTTAGTCAGCTTTCTGTCACTATGACAATATCTGTAATAATCACCTTGAGGGAATGCTTATTTTGGCTCACCGGTTTAGGATTTCAGTCCATGCTTACTTGACGCTGCTGCTTTGGACCTATGACGAGGCAGAACATCATGGCAGGGAGCATATATAGAGCAAAGCTGCTCACCTCATGGCAACTGGGAAGCAAACAGAGGAGGAGACTATGAGGCAGGCTAGTGTTAGGGGACATTCAGGACTCATAGAAAAATATTACATCTCAGATTAACCATGCTCTGGCTCAGGGACCACCCTCACCTGGCTGGGAACCACCCATGTCCCTCCCCACTCATTGATTATTGGATGGGAATCACCTGGTTCCTCCCTTCCCATAGGTTAGTTTTTAAAGCACCTGGAGAAGAGGAGCATGCACTTTGCCTCCAGAGTCCACCTGGGCCCCATCATGCTCCCTTTTGTATTTCCCTTCCCTAATTTTTAATAAACTCCATTTATACCCATGTGTCCTGTGGTAGATTCTTCCCAGTGGGACACAAAGAATTCGGAAGTCTTCTGACCACAGACTCCACCCGCCACCAACAGCTGGGGTCCCAATAGTCCCTTCAAGGGAATGTCCCCAGTGACCTAACTTCTTTCCTTAGGCCCACCTTCTAAAAGTTCCACCACCTCCCAAAAGCACCACAGGCTGATAACCAAGTCTTTAACATATGGCCTTTGGGAGGGAGGGGACTAAAGAGCTAAACCATAACAGTACATAATCTTTTTTGCAAACTAACTCTAAAAGCTAAAGGCTTACTAGAGATAGGGAGAGAACAGTTCTTCCCTCAAACGTTCTGAGAAATTCTCATCTGGGAGCTAGCTGAACTCCTAGAGCAAATGTTCCTAACAAATACAGGTTCTTTAAGACCTCTTCATGGTTTTGATATAGGAATATTCTATGATAAGTCCATCAATTTATAACAACATATTAATGACTTATGGAGAAACTCAACTGTTGGTAACCTGTTTCCTCCAAAACTTGATACATTACAATTCAGTTCCGATGCTGCCTACTTAGAATTAATATAACCCCAAAGGGTTAAAGGCAGTTTTCCATGACACTTCCCTCATTTCAGAAGGATTTCCCTCATGTCAGGTCAGCCACCTGTTTTTCTGAATGATTATAAATTCAGGGGTTCTCATGATCTCTTCAGATTATTCAGAGTCAGGAAGGCTATACTTAGTTACAGTTTGATTATAGCGAGGCTATAACTATAATTCTACTGTAAGCTAGTACACATATGAGGGAAGGAGCATGGAGCTGTGTCTTTACCTCCTAGCACATCACTATGTTTACCAACCAGGAAGCTCCACCGAGCTTTGCTGTCTAGAGTTTTAGTATATTACATGATTAATTAAATTATTGGCCACACACTGAGTTAATCTCTGGCCCCCTGCCTACCTCCAGAGTTGAGAGACCTAAACGTTCCAACCTATCAATTTGGTTATGAGTCCTATCCTGAAGCTATGGCATAGTATCCACCCAGAGTCTCTTGTCTTCATTAGCATAGCAAAGAAACTCCTGTCACTCAGGAGAGTTTAAGGATTATTGAGGCTTTCAGTCAGGAATCCAGGACAGGACAGATTATTTATTTTACCATGCTTGCATATTAACAGAAAACTGGCAGCACTCAGCACATGCATGTGGCACGATGAGACACACTCAGTCCATTTTTCTTGGTGGAGTATGATTGTGTATGATGTTATACTGGTCCAAATCAGGGATATCAGAATTAAAACTTTGGACTTGCCATTAAGCATGTAGTGGTAAGAGCATGTATGCCTTACCATTAATAATAATTTTAGTTAAGGAATATGTTTTAGGAAGAAATATTTAGTTCCACTGTTTTCATAAGAAATGTGACCCCATTAATGAATAAGAATTTGATGCTGCTTCTCTTTTATGATAGATCTTTTGTGATCCAGATAGTTAAATAACTTCTGTTAAGGATTTTATGATTGTTCTACTGAAATTTATCAGGAAAGATTCTAATGCAACATATTAATTAATGTGTTTTTTTTTTTTTCAAGTAATCTTCCTCTTTGATGCAGCAACTGGAAAACCACTTGGGGATGGGCAGCTTCTTTCTCATAAGGTAATAACTATTTCTAATGTAAATGACCACTATTTATTTCCTTCCCATTTAAAGTTAACAGGTATATTTTAAACATAGAAATTAGTTGTATTTAAAAATCAGTGTACATTCTGCATACATTATTTTGCCTAAAAATGTCACAGTTTAAGACTTAGCACAGAGAAAGTCTACAATAGGAAGCTGTGCATGCAAGTTAATTGAATATAAGGTCTGACTTAAAGGTCTATTTAAACTTTTTGCGGCTGTTCAGTAACATGTTCTATTTTGTGTAAAGCTTTATAAATAAAAAATGTATTTATGTTTTAAACCTCTATCAGTTTTCTCATGGACCTGTCCTTAGCATTTTCTTTAGATTTTAAGACTATAGTTAGAATACTATAATTATAGAGAAAAAAATTATTCCCCATAGAAGTACAAAAACAATCCTGAGTTATGAATTGTTCATTGGTTTCTGATGTTTAGTCTTAAAGGAGCACATTATGTTGAATTATTTGGGGTTTTGGTTTTTTTTTTTTAATTTTTTGGTGGTACTGGGGGTTGAACTCAGGGCCTCACACTTGCCAGGCAGGGGCTTCACCACTTGAGTCATGCCCCTAGCCCTTATTGCTTTAGCTGTTTTTTCAAATATGGTCTTGCAATTGATGCCTGGACCATGGGCCTCCTATTTTAGGATTCCCAGATAGCTGGGATGACAGGGTTTGTTCTACCATGCCCAGCTGTTGGTTGAGATGGCGTCTTATGAACTTTTTGCCTGGGCTGGCCTTGAACCACAAGCCTCCTGATCTTTACCTCCTGAGTACTGGGATTATAGTTGTGAGCTACCACACCTGGCGAGTTGTCCTTATAAATAAGTGATAAATCAGGGTGATATATCAGAGTTTAAAGATGCTTTCAATTTGGAGAGTTTTTTTTTTTTTGTCATTGGTTTAACTTGTTATTGTTTGATATCCAATGACACATATGCCACTGGGCAATTTTATTATTTAATAGTTCTAGCCAAGTGTTACTTTAAATAGTATTTTCTTCTTTGTAATTGTTTTAAAATCATGTAATGAATATATACATATACTTCAGATATAAAAACCTATTAAAAAGTATATGGTGGGGCTAGGCATGGTGGATCACACCTGTAATCCCATCTACTTGGGAGGCACAGAGTGGGAAGACTGTGGTTTGAGAGTTCATCCTAGGCAAAAAGTTAGCAAGATCCCATCTCAACAAACAAATCGGGTATGGTGGTATAGGACTGTCTTGCCAGTTGAGGCATAGGTAGGAGGATAATGATCTGAGACTGGCCTGAACAAAAAATGTGAAACCCTACCTGAAAAATAACCTATAAGCAAAAAGGACTGGAGGTGTGGCTCAAGTGGTAGAGCACATACTTGGCCAGCATAAGGTGCTGAGTTCAAACCCCAGTACCACAAAAAAAGAAAAAAAGTGTATATGGTGTAAAAAATCTCCCTATTACCCCAAGTACATATCAATCTACCAAATAATTAACTGCTGTTATTACTCTCATGCATCTTTCCAGAGATTTTTAGTGCATTAGATACAAAAGTGATAAATGTTCTTTTCCTCCTCTTACACAAAAATGTAGCATGTAGTTCTGTTCCATGCTTTTTTTCACATGACACTATTTCTGGAGATCTTTCCCTATCTTTATATAATGTACTTTCCACTCCACCCCCATAGAACATTGTATGGCTGTATCAGAATTTTTTAATCTCTGCCCAAAGGAGAGACATTTAAATTGTTTCCAGTCATTTGCTGTTAGGATATTTCAAGGTGATTTGACTTGTGTATGCCTCCTCTTGCACATGTTCTAGTATAACTATAATTCCTAGTTCTAGTGTAACGTTAATTCCTGAAATGTTGTTGCCAGGTCAAAGAATCTGAGTACTTGCAATTATAAGTATTGTGAAGTTATTCTCCAAAGAGATTATATCAATTAATCTTCCCAATGGTAGTGTATGAAGTGCCTGTTTCCCTACAACCTTTTTTTAATAGTCATTCTTAAATCAAGATTATGTAAGCAAAATTGTTCCTTTTCAGTAGAACTAAGCATATATTAAAAAAGTAAATTTCAAAGATGCAGTCGTGTGTGTTAACAATACTAAAATGAGAATCATTTAAGAAGGTTGAATGAACATTTGTTTTAATCTGGTAACTTTCACTAGAGCACTTGCTCTAAGTGTAAGAATTTCCTAAGCATAAGAAACTTACAGTTTCCTAATTCTAAGAATGGTGGTGACTTTCTCCACATCACATACTTCATTCAGGTATTCAGTACATGTATGTATAATACAGAGTTTAAAATTTGTACATTCTATGGAGTAATAGAAAAATCACCCCATCTGTTTTATTTTACATGTAAGAAACTAAAGCCCAAGATCTTCCCAAATAATAACAGATCTCAAACTAGAACTCATGTCTGTTTATTATTAAGTAAATATTAATGAGTGTAGAACAAGGGAAAAGGTTCTACTGAATACAAAGCCGCTTTCATGTCCCACTGCAAAGAATGACTTGGGAGGAACAGAAGTAGAGGTGGTAAGAATGGAGAAGAGGAAGTGGGGGGGGACTCTGCTGAATAAAGTGGGTTTACATAGCCGTCATTAGCATTATGATCCAATTCTTTTAATTTCTTAGGAAGGAGAATCACATCTGGTTTTAAAAGGATGCTAGGTTCTTTTGCTGGTGGTGATAATTCTTTATTGTAATGATGAATTTATTTATTCAAAATACCTCAATTTAGTATTTCATGAGTGCCTTGATACACAGGGAGCAAAATTAAATTCTTTTTCTTCCTTAAAATATAAATTACAGTATTCCAGAGAAGAGCTCAATTTTTTAAAGTGTATTTTGAACTATATTATGACTGACCCTATCAATTTGGCTAGTGGTATATATGTATTTTTGTTTTAAAGGGGTTATTTATAGTACATTTAGATACAATGACTTGATGGTATAATCATGATTCCTGTTGAATTCACAGTTCCTCACAAAATCTTCAGACAAAGTAGGCAATAAATAAATCCCTCTTGGGTTGAATTGAAATGAATCCATACTAAAGCATTTCCAAACTTTAAGAAAATTCATCTGCCTAGCTAGTATAATAAAATAATGCAGCATGTCAGAAATACTCAGTTATTGTGGAAAAGCAAAGATCGTGGAGTCAGAAGTCTGAGTTGTGAGTTTTAGACAGGCTTGGGACCAGCTTTTTCTGTGCAAAAGTCACTTACTGGCTATGGGTCTCATTTGTGAAATAAGTGTTATAATAATGCCTGTTTTGCAGGAAACCATATGGAAGAATCCACAAATTTTTAGCACTCTGGAAATGAGATATTTCCATCTATTTCCAAAATTTATACTTATATGTTTTTTTTTTCTTTTTCGTTACAAGGGTTTGAACTTAGGGCCTTGAGTTTACTACACAGATGTTCTACACTTGAGCTGTACTCCCAACCCTTATGCTTAAAATATAGGTGTTAGGCAATCTTAGAATAAATTTTAATACAAAGAATTTTTAAGTCAAAATAGATCTCTCATGTGATACCCAAACTTGCCTCACCTTTTCACCTTGTCTACTAAAGATAGGACAGAAAGGCAGATAGAAGTATTTCTCAGTATACAGAGTTAGAAAATGTAGATTATTTTATTGTATTGGCAGTTCAAAATTAACAGAAACATTTTATTATTATATGTAGGTAAGTGACATTTAATTAATTTTTTTGAGAGTCTTCTGTGTAGCCCAGGCTGGCCATCTTTCTGCCACAGCATTCTGAATGCTAGCATTATAGGTGTATACTACCATGCCAGGCTTAACTGACCTTTAAGAACAGAAATGTCCTTAGGAAAAGTAAATAGTATTCTAATCTTATGTGAAGCACTAAAAGTAATCCAACATTGACATTTTTTTTAAATTTTAGAATGAAATCTTGGAAATTGCTCTGGATCAAAAAGGACTTACCAATGATAGAAAAATTGCTTTCATTGATAAAAATAGAGATCTCTATATTACCTCAGTGAAACGATTTGGGAAGGAAGAACAAATAATCAAACTCGGTAAAATAATTTTTTGCATTAAAATTTTTAATTATTGCCAATTTTCTGAGTTCTGAATCATATACTAAATTGTTTGAATAAATTTGCGAAAATGTTTTGGTCTCTCATTTCTTAGCTATATAACTCTATTAATAGCAAGTTTTTAGCTTCTCTAGTTAAATTGGCATCAAAAGAAACACCTCTCAGTTAGAAATATAATGGCTCTAGGGAGAGCATTTAAATATTTCCATAAATTTTTATGTGAATTTTTGCATATGTTTTCACCATTATGTAATCAGGAAGTAGAGAAATACCTATTAGAAATTAGATGGGGTCTTGTTTGTCAGCTGATTTTAAAGATATATTTTTAATGCTCATATATTGAAACTAATAAAACATTAACGTTCTTTTTAAATTTAGGAACAATGGTGCATACTTTGGCATGGTGTGATACATGCAATATCCTTTGTGGACTTCAAGATACTCGGTTTACAGTATGGTATTATCCCAATACCGTTTATGTGGACAGAGACATTTTGCCTAAAACATTGTATGAAAGGGATGCAAGGTAACATTTTGCTGCACAGCTTTGGAATGGTGGTAAACAGAACTCTGACAGAGAGTTGTACTTCTGCCTTTAACTTCCGTCACGCAAAAGTGTCTTTCACTTTAATCAGATTCAAACTAAAGCTAGCTTAGTGGAGTTAAGTGATGAGATCAAGTTGATAGTATGAACTATTTTTTGTCTTGTTGCATGAATATAATTTTCAAGCTTAATGTTGTTTAATAGTAGCTCAGGTAGTTTTTTCTAGTGTGATTTAGGATTTTATATAAAAGATTTTTCATCGATGTGCCACTTTGTGATAACTACGTAGCACACAGATTATCATTGATTTTAAAACTTTTAGGAATGTGTGTCCTTCTTAAATTGAATTTTTTGGTTGATATCAAAGGTAAGGGTTGGGCTGGAGGCATGGTTCAAGTGGTAACTGCAAGCCTGCCTATCAAGTGCAAAGCCCTGAGTTCAAACACAGTGCAGAAAGAAAACTTTCCTAAAAGTATTTATATCCTTCAGAAAATCAATGAGATTTATATTCTTAAATTTTCAAAGAGATAGGAGATCTCTTACTCTTGACAAAATAGGAATACAAAAGTTTCTTGACTCTAAACTTCAGTTTTCAAATCTGTTTAGCGCTCACAGTGCGGCTCAAGTGGTAGAGTACCTTCCTAGCAAGGAAGAAGTCCTGAATTCAAAACCCTAGTACTATAAAAGATTAAATCCCTTTTGAGTTCATTTTTAATATTTAAGTTTACGACCTTAGCAAACTAGAGAGGCACCAAATTAAAATTGCTTTTTTTTTTTAAAAAAAGGTTTTCAAATTAATGAAGTCAGACTTCTTAAGTTGACTCTTTTTATTATGAGAAAATAATTTTGGAATTCAGCTTAATTTTTATTGGTCTACCTTTTAATACTCTAAAAAACAAAAGCTAATTATTTAATCATTTATATGACTTATCTTAAGTCTCAGGAATAAAAAAGATGTGTTATTCAACTTTCTAACTCTATTACAAATACCTGAGATAATCAACTTAAAAAGAGAAAAGCCTTTTTTTGGCTCATGATACCTGAGGTTCTAGGCCATGGTCAGTTGACCCCATTGCTTTTAGGCCTGTGGCAAAGGGGCTGATCGTAGCATTAAGTGAGTACTGGAGTGAAGCTGCTATACCTTAAGGCTGGGAAGTGAGAAAGGAAGGGAAAGGGGCTAGGGTCTTACTATACTCTTCAAGGGCACAACCCCAGTGGACCTGGGTACTTCTCACTTAGGCCTCACCTCTGAAACACTCCTCCTTCTACCTCCCAGTAGCACCAGCTCGAGGATCAGGCCTTTACCACTTGGACTTTTAGGGATACGTAAGATCCAAATGACAACAAAATCTCATTTAAAATGCTTTCAGGTTTAGCTTTCAAATATATAATAATTTTTACTACTTTAAACTGTTGGCATATTTTAGCAAGTTAGATTGAAATGTTTATTTGAATATATACATTCTTCCTCACGTTAAGTTTTGGGAGGATGCATTTTGAAGATTAGAGACTGTATGTATGTCAAGAGTTGCTTCCCAGATTTAATACCTATGAAAAATTTTGCTCAGAAGAAAACTTTTACGTTACTTCTGTTTTTTTTATCAACAGTGAATATAGTAAAAACCCCCATATTGTGAGTTTTGTTGGAAATCAGGTAACTATAAGAAGAGCTGATGGCTCCCTAGTTCAGATCAGCATATCTCCATATCCTGCTATTCTCCATGAGTATGTAAGCAGTTCAAAATGGGAGGATGCTGTAAGACTTTGTCGCTTTGTTAAGGTACTTTACGTTTCACATCCATAGTTGTCTATATATTGTGTATTAGTTTTGCAAGATGGCTAATAATAACAAAGGGCTAGAAAAATTGTGAATAGGATCGTGTCTTTTATTTTATAAATGAACACATGACCAATACAAAGGAATAGATGTTGCTGTGTGGTTTATTCTTTGAGGAGACTATAATTAGATAAGTAGTTTCTCCATGCTGGCACATATAACAATCTCCTGTGGAACTTTCTTAAAAGTCAGGTTGTTAAGTTCTACCTCCACAAAGATTCTGATTCATTAGCTATGGGTTGAGGCCTGGGCATATATCTTTAAATTCCTCAGACCATTCTTTTATGCAGCTAATGTTAAGACTCTGCTTTAAGCTATGAGTGATGATTCATGCCTCTGATCTTAGCATTCAGGAGGCTTGGCAGGAGGGCCAATGTGGGCTGCACAGTGAGTTCAAGGCCAGCTTGGGCTACATAGCTTTAGATCAGCAATTCCCAACTTGATTGTATCTAGTGTGTTCCAAACATGTTTGGCCATAGGTCTCTTTTATTGAGTATCAGTTAACATCCCTTAGAATACACTTTTGGTGTTTCCTTATAATGGGTTGTTGGAAGCAATCCACCATAATAGCATTGTTTGAGAACTGTACTATTCCTCTGATTCCCTGTCACCTCATCAAAAAGACAGGAGGCAGGGCAGGTGGAATAGCTCGAATGGTAGAGCACTTGCCTAGCAAGTATGAGGAGAGAGAGAGAGAAAAAACTTTATTCAAAAGAAGTTCTCTCTATGTATTTTAACAAAGTAGTCACAATGAAATTTTCATATTTTTGAATTTTTTTGTAATGCCATATTCCCTAATTTTTTTAATTAATTAATTCTTTTACCATGAATATTTCAATGACTGTTTAAGGCAGTTTGGTCATTTAGTTAAGACAGTTGTTCTCGTATTTCACTTTAGGAGCAAACAATGTGGGCTTGTCTAGCCGCTATGGCAGTTGCTAGTCGAGATATGACTACTGCGGAAATAGCCTATGCAGCAATTGGTGAAGTAAGTAAATAATGTTTAGACATATGTACGTGTCTATGGTTTTTCTCACCACAATCTATTGTATTTCTGTCATTACCACTTCCAATATGTTTCTTTTCCTTTTGTTTAGATTGATAAGGTTCAGTACATCAATTCTATGAAAGAGCTCCCATCTAAGGAATCAAAAATGGCTCACATACTAATGTTTAGTGGGAACATACAGGAGGCTGAAATGGTACTTCTTCAGGCTGGCCTCGTTTATCAAGCGATCCAGATCAATATTAATCTCTATAACTGGGAGAGGTAATAAAAATGCTTTTCAACAATTCAAAAACTGTTTGGCCTTATGTATTCTTCCATCCACCACTTAATAAGTTACATTTTTCCACTATACTTAATAATTTCCTAACACTACAAAAGAATTTGTTGATATTTTTATTTGTGAGTGGTTTACCTGCTGGAACTTAACATCTTCAGGCCTAGAAAATTGTGGCGATTTATGCCATTCTGAATTTGTGATTGATTAGAAGGTAGAGTATAAAGAAAAGAGATTTTAGGATGTCTCCCAAATTTCTGATTTTAGTACTAGGAAAATGGTGGTACTATTAGCAAATAGTGAGTATAACTTTAGTCACATTGAATTTGAAATATTTATGAAGGAATTATGTAATAATAGTTCATTACATGGACCTGGAACTCATGCGAAAGATTTGAACTGGACTTGAAGACTTAGAAGTCATCAGTAAATGGACAGTAGTTGAAGCAAGAATATATGTAATTGACGGGGGAATGTGTGGAATAAGAAGAGATCCAACTACATTTATGGAATGGATGAAAGAGGAGGAATCCACCAAAAGGTGATCCCATGAAACAGGCAAAGAAGAGCCAAGGGGTGTTTATGGTGCTAAGGAAGAAAGAAGAAAGGATTTATTGTAAGGAAGAGTCAGCAGCAAACCACCCCTCCCATTAGGCTTTGGGACAGATTGCTTTCTGAGACAGCATAGCATGCTGCTCTTCTGTAGGACATACTAAGTTCCTCCTCCTATTCTCTCATGTATGTGCTTCTCAATGAACAAAATTGTGTTGCTTATCTGCTCCTGAAAAGTTACTATTTTATAAAATTGGTTCAAAATGTCCTTCATGATCTTTGTTTATGTTTAGGCTCAAAAATAACCCATATATCTTTCAACTGTAAAGCCCTGTATTTATTATTCCTCTTAGATTAGAATTTTTGTAGATGTCCTACAAAGAGGTAACAAAAATTGCATAAAGTTAATTTTTTTATTTATATACTATAGTCTTATTTAATTTATGCCCTAATGATCTATACTTCATTCATATAATTCAGCCTGTGTTTCTGTCCTTCACACAAATTTTTATCATTGGTTGGTGTACAGAAAATCACAATAGATATTCATTCTGTAAAAACAAACAGGCTTTTATCCATGTCCTCAATTTATTCACAATTCTTAAAGTTTAAGGAAATTAGTTTGGAAGAGATACAGCATAAATAATATTTTTAAACTATGTTAAATAACTGATAGAAAATTATATGTACTATTATCATTACAAGCCTAACAGTTTTATGAAAAATAGGGAAGAATAGTATTTATAATCTTCTTTCAGCCAATGTTGTTGAAAAAATATTTACATTGATTAATGATAGATACTACTATTCAAATAATACTCTGATCATGGTACAATATAACAAAAAATTATAATGATCTTTGTCTTAAAAAGCTTAAAACTTAATTTGGACTTCTTTTTATTGTCATTGATAATAGTAAAGCTTCCACTTATCGAGTGCCTATGATCTGCCAGGAATTAATTGTGCTGAACACTTTGTATATCGTCTGATTAGGTAATCGCAACAACTCTGTGAGATTAGATGTTACCATCCCCATTTTACAAATGAGGACATTAAGCCTTACCTATAAGTAAGTAAGAAATCTAGGATTTGAATCTAAGTTTTCTAATATCAAAGAGGAACTCAGTTGAACACCAAATAATTAGACATACTATTGCTTGTATTGTTTTATTTGACTACGGTTTATGTCTTTGCAGCTATTTATGTCATCTTTTTCTTTTCAGAACATACTTCTTGAAGGACAGAAACATTTTATATTGTCTATGCATAGTAGGGACTTAATGTTCATGCTCTTCATATCTAGGTAATACTCCTTATCATTTTGCAGTACTCTTTCTCTTCTAACATTTATTGAGTGTAGATAGCATGTAGTGGGTGAGTAGGTATCCTTTCAGGAAGATGAGAAAATTTGCCTCTGATGGCCTTAGTATAAACCCTGGAACCTCTTGTACCTCACTTGACTTAAGTGAAACTTTCCTCTTCCCAGAGGATGCTGCTTCTCTACCAGATCTCTCAAATTGAGTCCATTTCTCTCCTCCAGCTATGCAATTCTTAGGATCTGAATGTGAGTGGAGGTGGTGTTCTTTCTCCCTGCATGTTCCAATCTTACAAAATCTCTAGTGCTTTGAAGCTCATGCCATGTGACCACGCTTACTCTCTGCTGGAGACGTCAATCCTGTACCCTGCTCATTGCTTATACATTCCCTCCCTCAAATTCTCAGCAAGTAACTCTGCCTGAAGATTACTGAATTTTAGAAAGAAGGAAAATAAGAACAAAAAATGTAGTGAGGAAAGAGAATGACTCCTAGGTATTCCTCTCCTGTCTACCTTGACATTTTCTTTTCTTGGGTTTCTGGTTTTTATTTAACTATAAACTAGTGGATTTGGTCACGTGCTGGTAGACTTATAAAATAATAAAGATCCAGTATTCTGATTATTGTCTTTATCCATACTTAAGGCTTGCAAATATGCAAGTCCAGTTACTGAACTGCCTATTCAACATTTCCATTAGGTAGATAGGTCACATGTATGAGTTCAGATTTATGTTTATTCCCTCATATTGCTTCTGATCTTCTAGGTAATCTACCTTTTTTCTCCCCTTTGTGGTTCCGATTGAACCTAGGGCCCCTTGGCATGCTAGGCAAACATTCCTACCACAGAGCTCCACCCCTATCCTCCAGGGCAATCTTACTATCCTGGAATTGCACAAAGCTGGAAATTCAGGAGTTCCTTTTGACATTTTCCTCCCATCCTATTCTCAACCATTTACCTCCCAAATAGACCCTCATCTACTCATCTACTTCACTCTCAGCAGGTTTGTCTAAGTTGATCCAGCTTTTTCTTTGTCATGTCCTCACTCACTCATCTCCCTGTCTATACTCTCCCTTTGCATTCTTCACAATGCAGGAGTAGTGATATTTCCCAATGGAAATTTGATCATGTCACTCTTTGACTTCCATCTCACTTAAAATGAAACCATAGTTTCCTATTGCTTTGAGCACAAATGTCAAAATTGGATAAGAAGTTATTTCAGTAGTGAGCAGAAGTAATTATAGCTGTTAAGAAACTTTTAGAAACATATATCATCTTCATTTCCAAACTCTACAGAGTTACTATAATTGATACATTAAAATATTACATGGAAATTTGCTTTGAAAAAAAAAATCTTTGGCCAAATATCTGGTCATTTTAAATGTACTCTGTGGCAAAGGACTGTTGGATGAGAAGAGGGCAATTATGATTAGGAATGGGGACTTTAGAATCAGACCCAGTTCTGCACTTACTAGCTATATAATCTTGGACAAATTACTGAAGCTCTATAAATTTCAGTTTCCTTATGCTTAAAATGGTGATAATTACCATCTCAGGATTTGTTGTCAGGATAAAAGTAAAATAGATTTGAAAATCTCTTAGCAAAGTGCCTGATACATAGTAATGCCTTTAATAAGTAATAGCCGTTATTCATTGTTTAAATATTTGTCAAGCACCTCCAGTGTGCCAAACTTGGGGCACTAAGAATACAGCAATGAGCAAAAGCAACAAAGTTCCGTGACAATGATTTTGATTTTGATTGTATACCTCTAAATGGTATAGCTTACATAAAAATGTAGAAGTAGGAAAGGTAGGTATCTTGGAATATATATGCATATATATGTGGATAGATACACACACATATATATATATATCTGTATTTTTGTAGATGAAGATTATTTCATATATATGATATATAATAATACTCTCCATCTGCAAATATTTTCAAGCATTGGGTGAATGATAAAACTGTGTGATCAGTTAATTGATTAATTAACATACTTGGATGCCTATATAGATGATGATCTTTTTAAAAAGATCTTATTTTTACTTCACATATATTTCTCTTTTCTGTTAGAACTGAGTAGGTGATCATTCTTATAAACTAAAGTTTGCACAATTGGCTTGTACTATCAGTGTTTAAAAATGTTTAGGTGTTGTGTATGTACAGAAAAGTCTGTCAGAGCTTGAAATTGTCTGGGTACTTTAGCAGCAAAGTAAGCCCACAAATGGTATTGTACAGCCAAAACTATACTAAATGGTGGATTTTTTTTTTTGTAGTAGTTGGTCTGTCTAAAATTTTGGATCTATTTGAATCTACTTTGTGATCTATTTGGGTATCATTGATGTTACCCAGTTCATGAGGCTCAGCAAGGGTGGGATTTGTGGTTATGAAGTCCAGGGGAGCTCCTAGACGTGGACCAGGAACCACTGAAGGAAGTGTCAGCTGGTAGAGAGTAACAAGGCCATGATTGTGGCTGGGATTAGCCACAAGAGTTTAGGAATGAAGAGGGCAGCAGCTACATCTCTGTTTAAAGAGATGTTTAAGAAGACAGGTTACCACAAGAGATCAGGAGGAACCAAAAGGATGGATTTTAAAAGCCTGTTTATTATGGAAAATTTTCAAACATACAGAAATAGAATAATGTATCCTTCAACAGTTACCAATTTGTGGACAATCTCCCTCTGTCCCCACCTCTTCCCTTACTATTTATTTTAAAGTAGACTCCAATCATATTGTTGTACCTATAAATATTTTGGTATATATCTCTAAAAGTTTCTTTTAACATCATCATAATACCATGATAATACTTAAAAAGTTAACAGTAGTTATACTTAGTGTCTTTATTTCTCTGTTTATCTCATAAATGTTTTGTTTTATGGTTTGACTTAAAATCTAAAAAAGATCATATATTGTCATTAGTTGATACATTTTTAGTTTTTTAATCTGTAGGCTCTTCTATTTCTTTTTGTGCTTTCTTGAAATTTTCTTCAATAGAAACTGGGCCTACAGAACATTGTTGATTGCCTCTTTATGGTGCCATTTAACATGTTCTTCTGTCTCTTCCTGAATTAGCTGCAAATTGGCTGTTGAATCTAGAAACTTGATAGGTTTAGGTTTAATTTGGGGGGAGGAGGTAGGTTACAGGTGGTGTATACATTTCATAATGCCTGGTTGAATTCCGTTGATGCTTACTTCCTAGATCCATAATTAGGGATTATAAACTGGTGATATTCTAGAAGGACAGAATTTAAATATTGGATGACATATTAGATTGCTTTTAAGATCCCTGAATTTCTATGTTTGTTTAAATCATCCAGAAGAGAATAGGTTTTAATTAATTCAGATGTTTCTTTTATATTTGAACTTGAAAATTGCCTGCAACCTACTAAGATACAACTCCTAAAGAATTGTAGGTAAGCAAGTTACCTACTTCATATCTACTTTGGACATTTGGTGATAACATTCTCTCAGAAACTGAAAAGGGGTAGAAACTAGAAGCTCCAGGTAACCATACTAATCCTTTATGTAAGTATTAATAAAAATAATTTCTCACCTTCTACCAGTTATACAAAATGATTTTTATTCATTCAAGTTATGCAAAAGATCATATTTTGAAGTTATAACATCTTTTTATATAACTTCCTTCTATTTAAAATACATGGATTTATTCCAGGCCTAGAATCTAATGTCACATTTGTTTGGTTGCCAAATAACCATTTTAAAACTAGAGACATACTGTTCCTAAAACCCTTATATAATTTGGAGTAAGTCCCCTATGAAATGTGGTAAAGAAACATTTTTTTAACCAGCATGTGCTTTTAGAGAACATTTAAAATAGCACATATCATTTGAATGTTTACCTTCAGCCATTGCTCTTCAATCAAAAAACTAATACTTTATTATGATTCTTATAATAACAGTTTTTATAGATAACAGTTAGTGTTCAAGCATCTAAATACAGTATTAGATATCATGTTCTGTTCTTTCTGCATAAATTAAATGTATTGATGTTCCATACTAAATTATCTCTCTGGTGTTTTTGAAAAGTCCCATAACAGATTGATTGATTGCTTATGTATTTATCATTTAGAACACCTTGAGTTTTGGACAATAAAGATATCCTTTCCTATCAGGTACAACTAGGTACCAAAAGGACGATTCATCAAATTCTCCATTGACACATACACCACTGGAATCAGAGCCTTGAGTGGGTAGGGGGAAGTGTATGAGAGAAGGTTACAAAGGTTGAAGCATCATTACTTCCATTGCTCCTCTTTTGAGCCTCTGTGAATTACTTTCTTCTTTTATCTTCCACTTTTATTCCTGTATATTCTAGTATCTATATTCTCTTCTGCCTGACCTCTTTGAGGATTTCAAGCCACAGAAAATTGAGGGAACTTTGTATGAGGCCATGAATGATAGCAAATACTGAGCTTTGCACTTGGCAATAAAGTATACATCAACATATTTTTTATAAGGAATCATGTTGCTTAACTCTGGCATTATCATTTGTATTACACATGACTTATGTTATATTTTTTCATATTAAACCTTTAGTATCAATTGTCTAACAACCATTAATACATACAGCATATCTGACATACTTTTTGTTTTGGCAGTAATGGGCCTTGTGCTTACTCAGGAGGCACTCTACCACTGGCGGAGCCACACCCCTTGTCCTTTTTACTTTAGTTAATTTTGAGATATGATCTCACTTTATGCCTGGGCCAGCGTGGACCATGATTCTCCTATTTGTGCTTTCCTGTGTAGCTGGAGATGACAGGTGGCACTAGGCCTAGCCATTGGTTGAGATGGGGATCTCACAAACTTTTTTTGTGGGCTGGCCTTGAACTGCGATCCTCCCTATCTCCACCTGCTGAATAGGATGGATTACTGACCTGAGCTACTGTGCCCAGTCATAAAATACTTTTTAATGTGACTATATAGTGGGTGGAGGCATGACTCAACCAATAGTGTGCCTACCTATCAAGCATAGAAGCCCTGAGTACAAAACCCCAGTACCATCAAACAAATAAAAGTGACTATTTAGTGTGATTAGTATGAGGGGAAATCAAAGCATGCTAAAAATGAAAAGTCAGTCACAAGTTGCAAAATATCTAGTCAACATCCAGTTTCATCTAAAATAGCAGATTTATAATAGTTGGCTCTGATAAATGATGAGTGAACTATTCTAATATGTTAGAGAGCTTGAGAAATACTGTGCTTTTTGACTATTTTGATGACTCATTCATACTTTAAAACAAGATGACAATAAACAGTGTAGAAGAGCTACCTGCCATCTGGTTACTCCTGACTCAGGTAATGTGAGCTGTGTACAAGATTGCAGGGGCTGAGGCCCTGGCCAAAACCTTCTTGTAAAAGTAAGCCTGAAACTGAGGACTAATCTGCTTTCCTTGCAAATTATCATCAGTGTGTGCATTTTGTGTCTTCAGTGTTGTACCACCGTTTTTTAGCAATTCACTTAGTTCTCTTCTGCTATTTGAATAAAATATTACTTTAAAAATAACTTAGTTGAATAGATAGATGCTGAATGAATTATAAAATTTAAATAACTTTAACATTTTAAGACTCAAATGACAAAAGGCATTTTGTCAGATGTTTCTTAATGTCAATTTGTTCTATTCATAAGATTTTTAATGCTACCATCATAAGAATAATTTTTAATTCTATAAATTTATTAGAGACTTAAAAAAGTAGCCAAGATAGTTGAATTCAAATGAAGTGCAAGTACTTGAATTTTGTTTTCAAAATTTTTTTTTCTGTTAACATGTGCCATGCACCCCCTCTGTAGAACTCACCAAAGAGAAATGAAAACAAGATCGCCCTTCAGTAAATGGAGGAAACAGACTACATAATAATTATAATACACCATATATACTGCTGTAATCATAGTATGTATAAATGATATGGAACATAGATAATAGTCACTTATTTCTAGAAGGTGAACTAGTCAGGAAGAAGGAGTCATGTAATCTGGGCCTTAAAAAATGAACAGGAATTTGCAAGATGAATATGGAAGAAAATGACATTCAAGACTGAGATAAGGAAAAGGACCAAATGTTTTTCCTACCTGTAACTCCAAAACTGCTATCTTTACAGTCTGATACAAGCAATACTGATCATCTTTTATTTTCCATTACAGGGCTCTGGAACTGGCTGTAAAGTACAAAACGCATGTTGATACAGTTCTTGCTTACCGTCAAAAGTTTTTGGAGACATTTGGTAAACAGGAAACCAATAAACGATACTTGCAGTATGCAGAAGGCGTAAGTATTGCATAGTATTTTATAACATATCTGCTTTATAAATATATAAAACATCTTAAGACAAAAGTTGAATGATTCATACCATAATTTCTAACATTTTTTGCCTTCTGATTATATAGTCTTATTTTACAACTTGTTATAAAGCTAATTTTTTTTTTTTTACTGAATTCTTATAGCCATGTTTGAAATAACTCAAGTCTGTTTTTATAATCCGTTTGTCTTAAAGTTGGGTACTATTTTAGATTTTTAGATAAAATAAACAGCTAGGATAAAAGTTAGCTCCTGAATTTTGTTTTCTACCAGCTGCCCTCTCTCTACTCCAGGAGAAATATACAAGCACAAAGGGCCCAGCCCAGAAAATGCGTAATTCCAGTGTGTATCAGTCCAAAAGAGAGTTCACCCTAGTGCCTAGAACATAACTGATTGTGGCCCCTTAACCCATACCCTTCAGGCTTAGAGCACACACTGCTCTAGCCATGTAGATCCAAGGAGTTTGACTCCCAAGAACTGTGATCCTTGTTTCCAGTTCTGTAAACTTGTTTCCTTAGCCTTTAACTCATTGATTCATTCAAAAAAAGAGTTTATGAGGACTGGAGGCATGGTATAAGTGATAGATCACCTGCCCAGCAAGCATGAGGCCATAATCTTAAACCCCCCTATCACAAAAAAAAAAAAAAAAAGACTTATGCAATCTCGCTATTACTGGGCACTCTGCTAGTTAGTTGTTGAGTCAGATGCAGCCTCTGTCTTCCTCTAGCCTTCGTGGTGCTCTCCATCTTGGGGTAGGATGAAGTAGAATGTTTTATGAGGCCCTGAGTTCTGATTCCAGCACCGTGAAAGGAAAGGAAGGAAGATAAATAAGTAAAATGGAATGTTCTGATCCTCCCCAGGGGTAGGATAGGTTAAAGGACCCTTGGGAAAAAGAAACTAGAGAGAAGACACCTACAATTTCTACTGAAGCTATCATTCTCTGCTTACCATATTTAGAATACTAGGTGCCATGATCTACATTTTTGAACTTCAGCATTATTCAGGGGAGCAAGGCCTTTGGGCTATTCTTAACGTTTAGCAATGCAACGTCAGTATGTACATTCAAGATAACTACAAGTTGTGGATTTGGGTTAGGGTTATATTTTATAAAGGTTTCACAAATTTTTTTGTTCTTCTTAAGTCTATTTTGGGCTATAAGGGCTTTCACTACCATTAGAACCAACCCAGTGTCCCTGGGATCTCTGCGGTTACATTCTAATTCATAGAATATAAGAGCAGCTATCACCAACACAGTGCTAAGCAGTTCAGAAAATCACCAGGTCATCTGATCTTTCTATCACAATTTTGAAAATGTGGCCATATGTGACAACTGAGCATCCACCTTAAATTTATTTTGTTGTATAAATTTTAAGCAGAGTAATGCCTACTCTGTTTCCTTCTCATCATTATCATCAATATTTTTTCAATATTTTCACATTAGGTACTTTTAAAGACACAAAAAAATGTAATCGTTACCCTAGGTGAAATTACATTTTAGACAGCAACAACTTAAAATCCTTCATCTTTTTATCAGTATGTGTGTGTTCAATTGTTACCAAAATCTTCAATCAGAAGAGCAGCAAGATTTCTAAAGTAGGACAACCAGAACAACATGACTTTCTTAAACATTTTGTTTTCTTTTCACCCTTAAACTATATAGGTTTGACTCCCTTTAGCATTATGTTATAAATGTCCCTATAAATGGAAGTGACAGCTAAAAATATAGTTAACTATTAATTTCAATTCTGATAATTGTTTTGAAGGGGGTGTACATAGTACTATAAGTTTTTGAATGGAGAATCAGCAGAGACTTTTCTTTTCGTTTAATTTTTTTTTAAGCAGAGGCTTTTCCTAAGCAAACAAAATTTGATCAGAGCTCAAGCAGATGAGTTAGTAGAAGTGGACCAGAGTAGGGGCAGGGTATGGGAACAGACATGTTCCAGGCAGAGGGGGCTCAGAGTAAGAATAGGAAACTTAAAAATTTTCCACATAATTGGGCTGAGGGTAAGCTTAGTGGTAGAGCCCTTTCTTCACACACGTGAGGTCCTGGATTCCCCAGCACAGCTTCCTACCAAAACACAGACACACACACACACACACACACACACACACACACAGACCCACACACACACAAAATTGTGTTAACATTGTGTCCGTCAGTTAAAGGGTATAGTAAGAGTAAATGTACAGAGTCTTGAAAGAATGGGGAGGAACCCTAAGGGACTGGGTCCAGGGTGGTTAGAGTACTGGTTGGGAGCAGACATTGCAGGATCCTAACATCATGTTAAGAGAATGTACTTCATAAGGAAGACAATAAATGAGAAGACTTGAAGATCTGAAATCCAGAGCACGACTTGAAAGGTAGATTGGAGGTGAAGGTGGTAACTAGGACACCAGTCAGAAAGTTACTTTAACAGTCCCATCAGGAAATGAAAAGTATTAAATTAATATAAGAAAAATCAGTGGTGAAATTAAGAGAATAGTAGTTGGGGGAACGAGAAAGTGGAAAGACAAAGCCAAGTATTTAAGAATAAGTTGAGCATTTCCAGTGTGGGCAGCGGTAGATAGATGAGAGTGTGTAAAGGAAGAACCATTGCAGTGGCACATGCTTGTTATCCCAGCACTCAAGAGACTGCGGCAGAATGATTGAGACAGCAACACACTGTCTCAAAAACAAAACGAAAGCTTTGAGTACGAATAACATGAAACTAGTACGACTTTTTTTTTTTCCTTTAGCTTGAAGTGTCTGTGGGATGTTCTGGTAGGGATCTCTAGTAGTCAGTTGGAATTATAAATATGAATGCCAAAGGATATTGTCAAAAGAAGAAATCAGAGCTAGACAAACACATTTCATGACCATCTAGGTATCGTTGAAACTCTGAGTTGCTGAGATCTCCTAGGGATAGATAGGAAAGCTGTGATTGGAACTCTGTTATTAACAGTGCAGAAAAACAGAATAGATCAACCCAACATAGACCTTTATGAAATAAACTTTTTTTTTTTAGACAGGGTCTCATTATGTAGCCCAGGCTGGCCCTAAACTCACAATCCTCCTGCCTCAGCCTCCTAGATGCTTGGATTATAGTCATACAGCACCATGTCCCACTGACATTTTTTTTTATGGTACTGGGGTTTGAACTCAGGACCACACACTTGCTATGCAGGCACTCTACCACTTGAGCTACTCCACCAGCCCTTTTTTATATTGTATATTTTTGAGATAGGGTCTAGAGAACTATTTGCCCGGGATGGCTTTGAACTGCCATCCTCCTGATCTCTGCCTCCTGTGTAGCTAGGATTACAGGCACAAGCCATGGGTACCCAGCATATTTTAACTAAAGGCAATTAAAAAGCAACAAGTGCTTTCCTCTCCCTTTCCACCTAAACACAGGATAGTCTCTTCTACTAGAGATGATGCTTATAAGCTTAGAGATGGCACTAGAGGGATCCACAGATTTTACTCCATTGTAGTTTCTTTCTATTTTGTTTGCCTTCCTACAGTTTCCTGCCTCTGGAACCTGCAACTATTTTCCTTTAACTTGTCACTTCTCTAAAGTCTATAATTCTTTGCTGCAATGCTACATAAACCAGATTTCTAACCCACTGTTTTGAGTCACCTTTCATTGAGGCACATCACTGCAAACATTAATATACTGACGACTTGTGTTTCTCATTTTAATCTGGCTTTTGTTACAGGATCTATCTATTTGGGGAGAAATCCTGTTTCCTCCCTGACATTGTCTAGGGGAAGAATAGAAGAAAAGAACAGAAACCAGAAGAGAGTGATATTATGTGGTCTAATAAGAGTTTTTAAAGAGCTGTGGTCAACAAGGTCCAGAGGATGCTCCTATCTCAGGGCCCTGTTCTTCCCCCTATCAGCATGCCCTGATACTCATCTTCTTCAAATTCTAATGTCAACTTTTCAGAGACACTGGCTTCTCTGATTACTCTATTTGAAATACAATCAGAAATCCATCAAGCACTCTGACCTTGACACTCACAGTCTCACTTCCTTATTTTCAGAACTCTAGCATTTTTGTCTTTATTATTTCTCTATGAAAATAGTGGTTTTTATCACTTTATTCACTGCTGAATCTTTGTACTGCTGACAATCCTTGGCATAAGCTAAGTGCTAAATAGTTGAATGAATAATTGAATATACAGGAAAAGCGTTTAGTATGAGAACAAAAACAGCTGACAGTGGCTTTAGTGAAAAGTTTCTGGCGCTGGAGATGTAGCTCAGTGATAAGGTGCTTGTCTAGCATGCACAGGCTCTGTGTTCAATCCACAGCACCACAGAAAACAAACAAAAGAAGGGTTTCTAAATTCTGTGGTAGTCTTTTTGTTTTTTGTTTTTGTTTTGGTAGTACTGGGGTTTGAACTCAGGGCTGCATGCTTGCTAGACAGGCATTCTACCACTTAAGACACTCCACCAGCCCTAAGAAGGGTTTCTAAAATGTAAAAGGAGCCCAGTCACATTGCAGTGTTCTGAGGGCATAATGAGAGTCAGGACTGAGAAGGAGAATGAGGGTGGTAGCTTGCAGACAATGAAGAATGAAGTGAAGCACATATGTTGTGTGAGTAATAGTTGAAGGCCATGTCCCAGAGCAGTTAAGGAAGATGGGATCAGAGATATATGTGAAGAGATTAGCCAGAGACAGAGATGAATACAGGCATAGGTAAGTTCGTGAGTACAACAAAGGGAAATTAAGTGAATTCATGCCTGCTTGACACTTATCATCTGTTGTAAAAGTACGCAGCTGATTTTCACTAGGAGTAAGAGAGATGAGGTACTGGATTAGGCATTAGGTATGATTTTGAAATTATTTCTGTGTGAATAAGAATTTGACTAATAACCAAAATAAGAAGTTCCAAGTACTGTTGATACTCCCTATAGTAGAAACTGTGGGCGTTAATATAGAAAGTTGCTAGACAACTGTCAAGGCACATCCATATCTAAAACCTGCTATTAAAAAGATTCTTATCCAAGGACTAATTCATCTCTAGAACACTGTTCTAAAACTGGATAAATGCCAAAACGGAAGTGAAAGTTATTTTCAGTAGGATAGCTATCAACTGACACTCTCATTGGTATGTCAACATATAACTAAATAAACATATATATCATCAGTTCAGTTGATGGGCTTCTAGTACAACAACACAACAGCTGTTTATTTTATCATAAATATATGGTTTTATTGTGATTGATATGAAAACATACATAAGTCAATTTGAGGCTGGAAGAAAGGCAAGAAATTCATCAAGTCTTGTCTTCCTCTTTATAAACGTTTTGTTAGACATGGAAACGGATGTTTTGCCATTTGAAATATTAACTTGTGGCCTGATTGAAAAAATGAGTCTTTCAAATAACCTTAACGTTTGTTCTGCTTTTCAACATGCTTTTCACTTGCATCTTAGTAAGTGCACACTTTTTTTTTAGTATGCATATTTATCTTCTAGGGTAAGTAGAAGAAATTCAATTAATTATTAATGCATCTGTTTTATGTATTATATATAAATTTGTATAATTATTTTTAAGAGATGACCAAAAAAAATCCACAAATTACTTCACAGAAATTTAGATATAAGATATTGGAATTTAAGAAAAATAACTTAATTCTATCAACTTCTAGTCAAAAGAAAAAAGGCATAAAGTCCTATTAAGGTTGAATTTCTCTTTTAGACAAATTTGTTCCAGCAACAAGAAGTACTTTAGTCTGGTTAAATACTGCTTACTCAGCTTCCCCACAAGGAGGTGAAAACCTACTCATTCTGTCTGACTCAGTCTCTGGAGTTGGGATCATTTCATAGTAAATCAGTTTAATGTAGGGCCCAATTTTTCCTGTGTCTTGCCTCAGAGAGGACAGCCATTCCTAAATAAGTGATCTCCAAACTTTATTAAGGAACAGAATGTGTTGTTCTAAAGAGCTGGCTCATAGAATTCAGGGGCAGAGTCCTCTCCCAATGTCAAGTGTAAAAACATACGAGAGGCATAGGTCTAGACTACAGGAGGGGAAACTGCATCATGAATAGAAGAGAAGCAAACAGAAAAAAATGTTACTTGTTATTCTTTTTATATATCTTCAATCTTGCCTTTCTTCTGCTTCCTCTTTTCATCACTGACTTAATGACCACCATATCTTCATATCACTTTAAGAGTTGTTGCAGTGGAGCCTCTTGTGTAGAATATGCTCAGGGGAAGCTAATGTTCCCCTGTCTTTCATCACAGCTAGGCTTCTAATGGGAAACTCACTATATAAGATCAGAGCTAGTGTATTGGAGACATGGCTAGTAGGCAGAGCCCCATCCAGTTTTCCTCTTGTTGGGAGGAGAGCAATCCACCTTCTCTCTTGCCTTGTCTCTGAACACTTTTGCAGAATCCTAAGTTCCATGGGACTATTTCAATGTGCCTTTTATAAATAGCTACAAGTAGATCTTGGATCATAATATGAGTCTGCTTTTCGTTATATAATTGTTCTGTTTGATCTTGTTCTTAAATATTCTTAAAGACAGTTCGTGCTTTTTCAGCATTATTTCTTCTTACTAACTTTTCCTTGGTGCCCTCTTTTTCTCTTATGTTTTGGAAGTCATATATCCTATTTTTGTTTATTCTTGGTTACTTTGGGTTAAACAAAAATGCTGTATACTTTATAAACATGTTTCTTTTTTCTTCTATTATAGCTCCAAGTAGATTGGGAGAAAATCAAAGCCAAAATTGAGATGGAAATAACTAAAGAACGAGAGCGCTCCTCAAGCAGCCAGTCCAGCAAGAACCTGGGTCTTAAGCAGTAAATGCCGTGCTAACCTTTAAGAAGTTTTGTTTCTGAAATTTATTCTAGTTAACCAAAGATAAGCATGTTTTGGATGCTAAAGAAAAAAAGCATAATCTTGGGGCTGGTGGTATAGCTCAGTGGTAGAAGGCTTGCCTAGCATGCATGAGGATTCCATCCCCAGTACTAAAAACAGAAAAAGGAAGAAAAAAAAAAGGTGTAATCTTTAAATAGTTACAACCACTTTCTGTGTACTTAATACTATGGGTACATTCAGAAAGATTAAACACAAACTAATCGGTGTAATTCCATCTTTCATATTTTTCTAGTCTAATAATTATCAAAATATTTCTATATACCTATCTTCACCTTTGTATCAACAGGTTATATTCCAGTTTTTGGTTCATTACTTTATTCCCAAATCTTCAGCATGAACAAATGTTAATGCTGATAATAAAACATTAGACTCTTTAAAATGTATGTTATCATTAATTTCTATCTGACTCTAAATTGTAAAGTGTCTCCAAAAGTTTATTTATACAACAAAAATATATGAGGATGGATTTGTGAAAATGTGTAACTGTACAAATACCATACACCAAAATTGATAGCAGCATTGTTCAAGTAGCAAAAGGTGGAAACTCAGATGTCCAACAGATAAATAGCAAAACCAATGTGGTATGCACATGCAAAGCAATACTATTAAGCCTTACAAGGGAATGAAATTCTAAATGAACCTTGAAAAAATTATGCAAAGTGAAGTAAACCAGGCACAAAAAGTGAAATATTGTATGATCCCACTTGTATGAGGTGCCTCGAACAAGCAAGTTCTTAGAAACAGAAAGGAGAATAGTGCTTATTAGGAACTAGGTGGAAGGAGGCATAGGAATTTATTTAATGAGTATAGAGTTTCTGGTTGGAGTAAGCACATTCTACAATTGATAACGGCGATGATTGCCCAACAGTATGAATGTTAATGCCACTAAATTGTACTCTTCAAAAATGGTTAAAATTTGTCAGGGTGTGGTCATTCACACCCATAATCCTAGCTACTTGGGAGGTGGAGATTGGGATAATCATGGTTCAAGGCTAGTCAGGGCAACAAGTTAGCAAGATTCCATCTCAACAAATATTCTTATATTGTCGTGTGTGTCTTTAATCCAAGCTACTTTGATAGGAATATTCGGGTCCTAGGCCTAGACTGACCTGATGCAAAAACTGAGACCGTATCTGGAAAAATAACTTAAGCAAAAAGGGATGGGGGTGTGACTTAGGGAATAGAGTTCCTGCCTAGCAAGTGCAAGACTCTGAGTTCAAGATGCAGTACTGCAAAAAAAAAAAAAAAAGGTTAAAATTGTTATGTATTTTGTGACATGTATATCACACACACACTTATATAACCATAATATATATGTTATATTTACTACCATAATTTTAAAAATAGAAATATATCTAAAATGAACAAGTTTTTCGTCATTCTTTTCCTGACTTGAGAATGTTTAGACAGGTGACCCTGACTCCAAATTTATAAAAATCTTCTTAGGTGATAAACCTGTTGATTTAATTCAGTCTTAATTCAGTATATCTTAAAATTACTATTACCACAAAAAGTCTTAACAATAACACAAGTACTCATAGAAAGTTTTTCATGAACTTGTTTTTGGAAATAATACATTATCAAGAGAATACACGCATATATGTGGAAGAGGGGATTACCTCTTTCACCTCATTCAGTCACTGTATGTAGGTTTCTTTTATAGAAATGTCCCTTAATTTCCAGCATTTTTCTTTTTTGAAATAATGGAATATTTTGTTCCTGATCCAGATGCTGGACACAGGATGTATCCATTTTGTGAAATATGAATAAACAATTTACTTTTAAGTTGTACTTATACATTTATATATATATTCTGTATTATATTTCAATGAAAAGGTTAAAAAAATGGAAAAGGAGTAAATTTTGTAATCTATATTTTACCACAATAAAACATAAAAAATAATAAAACAAGCCTGTGTTCTAACAATTCCGTGATATTCCTACAATTCAACTCAATTCAGACCCTAACTACTTGGAGTTAGCATCAGATCTCACAAGTTAAAAGGCGTCCAACAAGATTGCCCTCTTTCAGATGCCAGCTCCAGAGGAGTCTACAGGCTACCCTGAAGTCCCCAGGTTATCTGCACTTGGGTCTAACTTGGTTGCACATTTGTGAGTCCCCATGACCTTCCCTTCAAGTTTAACAGTATGCTGGGATGATTCTCAGAACTCACTGGAAATCTTTACTCACAGTTTTATTTAAAGGGATGCAGCTTGGGAACAGCCACATGGGAGAGCTGCACAGAGCAAGATCTGGGAAAGAGGAGGGACCTTAGGGTGAGTGTAGAGTGGAAAAGGAAGGGACACAGAACTTCTTTTCCTTGTTAAATTCAGGTAAAGCATTTTCCCAGCTTGTGAATATGTTCACCAACGAGGAAGCTCCCCCCAACTTCGCTATCCTGAGGGTTTTTTCATATTTTTATTTTTAAACGGGGTTTTATTATATAGGCAGAATTGATTAAAACACTGGCCATGCAATTGAAAATCTTCAGATCCCCTCTTCTGCTGGAGATCTAGACACTGATTGATTCTTCGGGCAAACAGCACCTATCCTGAAGCTATCTAGGACTCCTTCTCAAAAGTCACCCTATTATCATAACAGATACCCTTATCACGAAATTTCAAGGATTTTGAAAGATCTGTGCCAGGAACCCTCCTCACTCCCCACAAAGATCAGATATGTATTTGATATCACGGGCCATTCCCCAGTCTTTACTACAGGATCTTTTATGGCACAATAATCTTAACTGACTGACGAAACAGATACAGCAACATTTGTAATTTTCTAACATATTATACTGATATTATAATCTTACCAGCAAGGCCAGTGTTAATAGCATATGCATTATGATAGATGTAGCCTGAGGAATAAGTTAAAAGATAGTGATACATTACTAGAATCCTATCTAGTCTCCATTAGTCCAGACCTCTCTCAGTTAGGGAGGCTCCCACTAGATCTTGTCAGGTTCCAAAAGCAAAAGAGGTCTCAACAGCACATGGCTTCACCCTTACAGGTATCTGGTATAACTCAATTAAGAGACAGATCATCTCTTTGAGCCTCTTTTGAAGCATTGATGTAATAATGAGATTCTCTCATTACATAATCCATTGATTCATTCTTTTACCCTTTACCAACTATCCTCATCCCTCTACATTTACACTCAAACTTTTTTGCCTTTGGAAGGGATGGTAGGTTTGGCCATTGAGCTGATGGAGATTAAAGCAGCAATATGAGCCTAGCAAGTACCTCTCCCTCAGTCCACTCCATGTACAGAAGGGTTACATAACTATAGAACCAATAAGCAACATAACTATATTTATGATTAGCCCCAATTTTGCCAGACAGGGTTAGGTACAGTTTGAATGTCCTCTCCAAAACTCATGTTGAAATTTAATTGCCACTATGAACATATGGGGAGGTGGGATCTTTAAGTGTTTGGGCCATGAGGGCTCCACCCTCACGAGTGGATTAGTTCCTTATCCAGGGAGTGGGTTAAAAGCTCTCACATATGTACTCTCTCGCTTCCAACCCTGCATGCTCTCCATGTGATGCACTCCATGTTATGATGCAGCGAGGAGGCCCTCACCCAATGCTAGCAGCTTGTTAGTGGACTTCTCAGCCTCCAGAAGTGTGAGAAATAAATTTCTTTATAAATTACTCAGTCTGCAGCATTTTGTTTGTTATAGCATCATAAAATAGAGGACAACATGGGGTAAAGTCACAACCCACCTCATTTGGCACTTAGAAATTCTGATACAATAGGGTTTGTAATGTAGCTACAATTTTTTGCTTAAGAATAATCCGTATTTCCAGCACTTGTAGCTGCAGCCCTGGTCCTGGGAACTCTGCATCAGGTAGGAAAAAGAAAGTTGAAGTAATTTGGGGAAGAAAAAATGTATAGTCACACCAGCACCCTCCCTGCATTGGAAGAACTATATAGCCATAACAGTATCCTCTGTTCAACTCCTTTCCCCCAGAAGCAGCAAAGCTCAGGAATCTAACACTCCCTTAGTCCCCATCATGTTGAGTCTCTCTGCCTGCCCTTCATGCCTAAATCTCCCCCTATTATGTTTCAGTTGCATGTTCCAATTCTTTATCACTCTCATTACTCTCAAGAGGCCATCTCCCTGCCCGTCATTGGACATTGATATTCCTCGGTTGGAAGAAATGTGACTTGGTGGTCTAATTGTTAACAATATCTTCTCCTCTTGTTCTTTTTCTAAGTATTTTCATTATTCCTGGATAACCAGAGCCAGTCTAGAGTGTTTATTCCTGTCAGTACTCATGTAACCTTCACCCTAACTTGTCAACTGTGTGTAGGATCTTCAGCCCTAAGTCATCTATCTGTTTCTGTCTCTCTGTTTGACAGACAGAATAGTTCTTACTGGCACTTTGTTCCTTGGAGAATACAAGAGGAATATCAGCCTATCTCTGCATTATTGCAGCTCCCCAAATCCATTCTTTTTATAAACCCAGGTGACTATGTCACTCTAGGGTATCTGCTCTTTGATTCCAATTACCTTCCAATGCTAGAAGGGAGTTGCGATGGGCATTGCCATGACCTACTTTAATGTACCCTAAAATTCCAATTGTGATTTCCACAGGGTCATGCCCCATAAAGGCATCTCTTTAATAGGCCAATCTTCCATAGCCCTTTTGCTTGACCTATAGCCAGGTCATTGGCCACCATGGATAAATGGATAAAAACCCAAAAATAAGAGTAAACAGTATGCAATGCAGCCTACCAAGCTGATTTTCTGTTTTGCCTCTTTTGATCAGAGTGGTAGGCTCCCAAACAGGTGTGGTAGTGTCCTAAAAGTAATATCATGAATGTTGTCTGTTCACGTTGGAACTACCATGCATAAACCAAGCATTTATTGGCCAATTAAGAACTTTATAGGGCACTGTTCAAGTGACGATGAAATCCGGCAGCAACTTGGGTAGCTTCAGTCAATCCTCAGGGGGAAATGTTTACCTGCTTTTGCATACACTTAATTCCCTCAGAATATATTCCTCTATCATTTCCATTTTATTATGGACCTCTGGTGGACACTGCCCCCTTCATTAGAGTGTTTCTTTGACATCAACCAGACAATGGATAGTTTAGATTTTAAGATTATTTTGTGTCCTTCAATCATAGGGGCAGTTTAAATTTTTAATTTTAAAACTTTTACCTCAAATGGGAA